AGCAGCCTCTTCAGCTGCTGCTGTAGCAACTTCAGTCAATCAGCGCCGGAGGATGAGCAAAACGACTCGGCCACTGACGCTGAATCCGCACCGCCGGAGCAGAACGACTGGGAAAAGAATACCAAAGCAAAGCAGAAGATGTGGATTTGTTACCTCAACGAAGTCGCCTTGACTTCTTTTTGGACATCGGTTTGCTCTTTGTAGGGTATGTGACATGTGTCTTGTTGGGTTAAAACAGGTGAAAGGAAGACAAAACCAAGGTCATTGTTGATATGACCCGGCTGGAACTCTGCCTAGTGGATGTGGCACACGAGACCTTACTTCGGCACATCGACCGCATCTTCGAATCCGACATCCAGCTACCCTTTGAGAAACCGAAGGATTCTGAACAAAAGGAGTGTATCCAGACTGCCAAGCAACGCCAGAGGCTTACCCACCTGCTCAAGCACTCTGGAACCAATCTCACGCAAAGCAGAAGCGACGAAGACTCCTTCCTTGACCAGCTTTCCAATACAGAGCATAAAGTCTCTTTCCTGTACAAGCAAGCCCTGGGAAAAGGTGAGATTCCGATTTCTGTTTTGGCAGACCAGCTCCTGTTAGGTGGGGTGGTTCCGACCAATTCACTTTACTATGCGAAAGTTGCGGTCAAGTACATGGTGAATGCAATTGGTGTGGCGTTGATGGTTTTTGCGGCAGTCCTTCCAGCTGTGGTGCGGGATGAACAGCATGCGCCACAGACCGTCGGAGACTTTGTGGTAATGATTTCATTCATGATGTTTGTCTTTGTGAATGGTTCTATGATGGCTCTGTGGTACCCGACTCAATTGCGCAACCTCTTCTCCAACATGTCGAAGTCCTTCAGGATGTTCAACGCAATGCTGATGGGCGGGAAAGGTGCTGCAGTAAACTTTCTTCCACATATCCGAGTGGGCAAGTTTGATGACATGGCCGGTTGCTGGGTTGAGTTCGTCCCTTTTCTTAGGACTTTGGCTGGTGGAGCTTTCTTGATGCCAGATACAACGAACGTAGGTAGTCAAAAGCAGGTTTAGCAACTGGAGAAGATGTTCAAAGGTTGCATCCCACATTGGCAAAAACATGCAAAAACTGATAGGAGGAATGCTCCTTTGGTCCGAGGTTGGTATTTGCTCTACTCGTTTTTCATCGCTAGCATGGAGCGTCGGAAGCTTGCTTTGGAGGTCGGCTTCGGCCATGGAGTTCTTGACCTGAATTGATGAACTTTGAGCTTTGCTGGTGGTAGTAGGCTGGTGTTTTCACGCGCAATCTTCAAGATTGGTTGGTTTGTTTTGCTAAACAGAGAAAGAAACTCAGGTCCTCACAGTGGTGGGCATGTCAGTGCTCCTGCTTTTACAGCTGATTTGGCATGAAGAGAATCAAGCGTGGAGTCCAGGAGAATCTCAGCTGCAAAACCATATTTGGTAGTGCAATGCTTTGGTTTTCCCCAATGGGAAACAATACACCTCTTTCTGTCCTCTTCAGAGGTTCAGAGGTTCACAGTTCATGTCAGGTAGAGTTTGGCGAGACGATTGTTTTCCTCTCTGCTTTCATCATATTTTCTTTGCCACCTTTGCTTGTGGGCGTGCGAGCGAACCTTTTGAACCGGAAAACTGTGGACTTGCTTTGGGGACATGCAACGGAGTCACGGGCATATCTTCACAAGCTGGAGAAAGAATTTGCCAAGCTGGAAGAAGAACTAAAGCAGGCAGAAGAACAGCAGAAAGAGTCACAGCAGGACTGGAGCCAAGACCGAGACCACTCTTTTCTGGCGGGCTTACTCTCCCCCGTGAAGTAGTTTGGCTCCACCCAAGAAATTGCACAAAGCTTGATGGTGTTGCAGTGTCGCCCTGGGTTCGAAGGAGATACAGATTGTACCTCTAAGACCAGATTAGACTGTTTTCTAACTGAGAGTATCGAGATGTCACATGACCATGAAACCACTTGTGCCCCCTTTCTCTGATGGATCTCAGATTTTTGGGACAATATGTGGGGGTCAGATCACGATCAACCAGCTGAAGCTATGTCCGTCCATATCTTTTTGAACTCCAACAGCTCGGTTGTTGGATGGAAGCTGCGCAATTGTGCTTCCAACCTACTTGTACTTGCAATGGCCTCCAACCTACCAGCAATGGCCTCCAACCTAGAAGCGATGGCCTCCAACCTGCTAGCTTAAGCCTCCAACCTAGAAGCGATGGCCTCCAAGTTAAAGCCGGAGCAAATATATATATAATTCTATATAGTCTTCATATTCGGAGTAACATGAGGCAAATTTGACCTGAACTCATTGGAAGCAGCGTTTTGGACCATTCAGCCGTCGTAGAAATTGGCGCTTTTTCGCTGGAACGGACCATCATCCATCCCCATCCCCACCCCCACCACCACCTTTTTGTCCTGTGCTTCCAACATTCCTTTGTGGGGTCTTCGGCGCCGCTCAATGACACGCTTCCACGCTTCATTGTGAACATCCCTGTGGATACAGCAGCACGATGCAGCATGACTCGACCGCGTTCCAACACTTGCACTTAGATTCTGGACTTTAGATTGCCGTACTCAACCTTCCTGGGCTTCACATGGCTGTGGGTAAAAACCGCAAGAATGAACAGAATAGACGACTTGGGAGGTCAACTACCCTGATTTGGGGCTCTGTTCACTTGTTCCAAGCTGGGAATGGATCATTTAAGTGTGCATCGTTGCATTCGGTCATTCGGTGCCCAGTGCTTGGAGCAGCTTCGTTGCATCGCACGGTCGTTCCCGGTGTAACCGGTGCGGGGCCTGGTATGACGGAATTACCTACCAACCTACCACGCTTGGGGCATTGATGGGACCAATCCCGACGCACCGTTACTTGGTAGGTCCCATCAATGCCATCCCAAACCTCCGTGGTGGGATGTCAACCTACCACGGTTTGGGGCTCCAGGTTTTGACCCACAGCCATTGCGCGATCTAGATCGGAGCTCGGGCGGATACCACCGTTTGCATGACCAGTGGTCGTCTCCATGCGAGTCAGTCCTGGCAGTAGTTTGCACCCTCGGGACCAAATGCGAGTCACATGCAGCTGTGCATGCAGATCGGGGCTCGACTTGTGTTTGTTGCTATACTCCTTGGGTCATATGACCTGTGATTTCCCTCATTGGGTCCAGTTTCCGCACGTGGAATCGCTCGTCAGCACGTGGTACCTTCAGGAGGAGAAGAAGAAGGAACTGTCCCAAAAGAAGCACGACATTAAGGATGCCACGGCTGCAATCGAATTGGCTGAGTCGATTGCTCAGAGACGCTCAGAGTCGGCTAGGCGTTGGCGCAAAACACACCAACATTCTTGCCATGAACTCTAAAGAGTGGTCGAAGACCCCAAGTTGACCCGAATCGCCAGGACTTATAGGCTCTCCAATCCTAAAGGCAAGTCATCACCAATCCAAGTTAAACTGGCTGGATTGGATCAATCTACTTAGCTCGCGTTGGATTGGACTTTCTAACGAAGTCGACCGTCCCCCCCATGCTGTCGGAGACACCTTCGCCGCATGTCACGTGCGTTTTGAGCCGCCGATTTCGGCCCACTGGAACCGTGAAGGGTGTTTCTCATTCTGGTTTGGCTTTCCGTGGCTTGGCCAAGGTGTAACTGGTTCTTTTGTTTGAAGGTGGCCATGGGGTTGTCACCAAAATGGCTGTCACTATAGTTCAAGGTACTCTTCATCGCAACATGATCGCAACACTTCGTCTCTCGGAGTCTCAGGACCGCGAGCCTGTCGCGGTGTCGCCTGTCGCCTGTCGTCGCAGCGTGGTCCGGTTCGACGAGCGGCCCTGAGGAACGAGATTGGACACGGCGCTGGTGGTGCGGACCTTGGGCATGGAGTTGACCGTGGGGCAATTCACCGCCATCGCCTCGCTCTGTTCCACGGCCGGAGTCTATGCCTATAACAAGCTACAGGAGATGAAGGCGGAAGGTACTCTACCTCCGGTCTTGCACGGAGTCTTTTGACATCTTTTGACCTCGCACATCCTCGCACATCGCCTCCAAAGGAGGTTTGGAATTTTTAGGGTTTGGGGTTGGGACTTCTCCTTGGGGGTTTAGGAGTTTGGGGGAGTAGAGCTGCACAGCCCACGTAGGGCCTCAAACGAATCATTGAGCTCTTTTGTCATCTCACGAGCTTCTCAGTGGGTCTCAACCCAAGAACCGATGAAACAGCGGTGTGGCAGAAGCCATACTTCGCGAAGGCCACTGCTGTCTTGGTAATGCACGCAGATTCTATCTAGAATTTGCAGAACCGATGCGAATTCTGTTGATAATTTGCCTCAGCGTGGTTAACAATCACGCGTTTAAAATGCCCAAAGTTTTGCCAAGCACCGAAAGAAATCTATCGCAGGGTGTTGGAGGTTCATAGATGTTCAATGGCATGTTCATCTCTCGCCTCATGGTTTTTATGTGGTTTCTTCGTAAGTGCTCTTGATACAGAGATCTCTTTCTTGTTTCTTGCTTTGAGATGGAGGCAATAGTTGTTTGGAGACCGTGATAGCTGCCTACTTGCATTTCAAGCTTCGATGTGGAAATCTCTTCCGCTTAATTTCGACATACCCCAACGCAGCCCGATGCTTCAGAGCAGATGGCTTCAGCCCGATCGAGCAGAAGGGAACTAGCTGTATAGTTTTGTCCTACATTGGCGTCTTCTTGCGGTACGTATGCACAGCTCTTTCTTGCGGCTTTGATGCAGAGAATCTAAGGTCCTGTTTGGGCTGTCAAGATATGCATGTTGGTCAAACTGAACAATGTTCGAGAGCAGGCAAGTCTACCTGGAATGGCGAGCAACTTTTTTGGTAGGAGATTGCTTGATCATGGCTACATTTGAGAGACAGATACGGTACCAGATACATGGTACCTCGCTAGTATCATGGACATTAAATTACCACAAAATACTCGGTACCTTGATACGGTACCTCCCACTGCCATCCTTCGGCGTACGTCCTTCGTCCGTGTCGTTGACCGTCTCCAGGTTGTGAGCAGCCAGTGTGTTCGGTGCCTCACTGAAAAGGGACAGTGGAGGAGGGCTACTCCTACCATTTGCCAGACTGGCAACGGACGAACTCACTGATTAGTGTCCCTGGTTTGCAACCTACTACCGGAGCAACATTTCTCAGATTCACAGGTTTAGCTGTTTTGCTATCAAGCATCCAAACTCTTTGATTGCTTTGAAAGAATGTTGTCGAAATCCCTTCAAATTCTGCTTGACTTTGTTTCGGGAAACTTATTGTCATGACCGAATCCTCGATGTGGGCTTGCCATTTGTGCGATGTAGGTGCACTTTGGGTTGCTGCCCTGCCCAGCAACACTCCTTTTCTGCTCGAGGACGACCATTATCCACGGAATCCCGAAGAGCATAACCAATCCACTCGCGCAACTCCATGTTGGTTGGTTGGGCAGTGGGCAGTAGGTCTTTGGAAGATACGCTGTCATGGCGTAAATTGCAATACCCAAACACTCCATGTATGCCATATATGCATACATAAAACCCCCAAACCACCCCGATGTAGGTATATATTTGGCATATACATGGAGTGTCTGGGATATGTTTCCTTCAAGAATTCATGACCGTGTTATTTGATCTATTTTTCAGTGCCACAGAGGACCTCACGCAAGTAGCCAGTGAGTCCCATACGATCCAGTGAAATTGGAAGGTGCATGTTCAACCTTTTGCGAGTCCTTTTGTGGCATGTGGTTGAGCATGGCCAACTCAAGCAAAGTAGTTTGCACCTTCCAAGACCAGGGGCCCCACAAACCATCAAAAACCTTGTTTTCCCTAGCAAAAAACTGGGTTTTATGAAAACCTGTGTTTTTCATGGTTTGGTTCGGGCCCCTGGTCTTCGGTGGTGTTTGCACCTTCCTCGAATCACCGTTCGAACCGATAGGTGTCGTTCGATCGAGGCGACGTGTTGCGATCGAACAAACGAAACACCACGTCCTCGGACGTCACCGACACCCGGTCCTCGGAGTGATTCCGAGGACGGCTTTTTGGAAGAATCCTCGTGCGGACGGGGTGAGGAAAAGACGGCGGGGACGGTGGGGAGATCGGATGGAGAACACGTGCGCGAGATGTGGGGAAGAGCTCGTTTTCGGTCGTTTTTTCTTCAATTGAGTCAATTGGGTCAAATTCCAGTATCCTCAAACAGTACTACCCCAGCAGTGTGTCAATTCTTGCCCAATAGTGGATGACCACTCGCACATGTGGTGGACTTAATTCTTGGCAAAAGTTCTATCGCTGAGGTAGCGGGTGCTCTCACTCAGAGCAGGTGCGGAAAGAAGATGAGACAGTGTATACGGGTGTTTAAGCTGGCCATGTTTGGGGCCTTTGCTGTGATCCAAAAAGTACATGTGATATCGTGTGATTGCTGGCTGGTCAATTCATTTTATTAACGTGGGTATAATGCAACCTGCCTCTAGTGGAAGTGAAGCTGTTTTCGCAGCCCAGGTTTGACTTCACCACGTTCGTCTCCATGTGTTGAGAGTGTTACATGTTTGTCTCGACCGTCCGGCACGCAAGAACACCCCTGCATGGCAGTCTTAGCTCTGGACAGCAAGCGTCAAGGCATCATGAAGGATGAGGTTTTTGACATGCCCCTCTTTGCTTGGAGGCTCATGCCACTTCATAGGGCACTGGTGGATCCCAAATCACCCAGCAATACCAAATGGTGAAAACCTCAAGAATATCTCAGGCATAATGCGGCAACCTCAATAAAGCCCGGTTCTCAGCCACACAGCTGAGAACCCTCCTGTGGCCCAGGCAGAACGATGTTGACATCTCACTGGCCAAATCCGGAGAAATGGTGGAATATATACTATAAACTGGACATTTCTCGTGCCATGATAACCAAAATTTCTACGGACATTTCCAGGCCATAGTCCGAATATATCCGAAAAGTGATAACCAAACCTCTTCCGTTTGGATTGTGATCAAAAAAACAAATCATCTTCCAGTCCAATGATGGCGCCACTGGTATTCCAATGAGAATCATTTCAGCTGACTACTGGGTCAGAACTACAACATATAACCAATTGAAAGTAAAGGACACTCCCTTCGTTTCGTTCAGGGACAGTCTCCCTACATCAAGAAGTCATTTGAAGCTCCACCAAGGTTTTAGCTATAGGTATGATCAACATTTTGGGGTATGTAAAAACCTTACCAATTGATTCTATGATTAAAGGAACGAGTATCTAAGAGGGTCGAAAACCACAGTGTCACCAGCATCACACAGAATGCTGTCCCTCGGTGAACCCCAACGAAGCTCTCGCTCGCTTGGAGCATGCCGCGCTCATGGATCCTATGGATTTTGGCGTCCCTGGGGCTCTTGATGGTCATCACTCTCTTAAATGGCGAGAAACTTGGCTCAGTTGCTCAAGTTGCTCAAGTTGTTGAGATCTCTCTTCTCACCCCATGTTCACCCCATGGTCACCAAGCAAAATGCCTTCGACCTGTTTCAGGATCGACCAGTCAAACCAGGGGGCCAGCAGAAACCCATCTTGCACGAGATCAAACGGAGGCGTTTGGCCCTTTTTTTCACGACATTGGAGTCCAGTGATGTTGGACACCGTCTGGACACGTGCGTTGCAAGCATCAGGTGGAGGGCAAGAGTATTGGAAGTAGGAACCATCCGTCCAAACGGTTTAGCAGTATATTCCTTGATGTTCCAGGCATGAACCGTCCAGGTCTCGGAAGTCGGAAAGCGAACTCATGTCCAGTGGATGGGTATTCAGAATGGAAAAACAACAGATTTGGTCTTAGGGTTTGGCCCTGGGAGGGATTGTTTTTGTTGGTTCCCAATGGAGATTTATCTGGTCTTCAGTGGCACAGCATTGCGACTCAGGATCCGTTTGATGCCCACCAGCATGTCCTTCTCGCTGAAGACGCGAGACGGACGATGGGTCTCCAATGAGCAGGTCGAAGATTTGGAACAGAAGGCGCCAGCGAAGTGTCCGATGTCGTTGGTTGGTCGAAAGTACACTGCTCCGATGGAGACGTCCTGCGTGATCCGAACGAACACGGCGGTCTCGGTGTGACCTCAAAACGGCGTCCCTGGAAGGGATGGAAAAGGCAGGACAGTGTCAGGGAGGGTCGGGTCCGCCAGAGAGGCAGGAGGGAACGCAAGTTGAAGATGGTTTTTTCATGTGTTTTCCATCCCACCTCACACGAAGCAGATTTTCAGAAGCACAAGCTTCCAACAAATGAAGCTCTTGTCACTTGCTTCAGAGAGGACGAAGCTCTTGTCCAGTTCACCATGGGTAAAACCGAAGACGATCGACTTCGTCGACTTCGACTCGTTCATCGACATCCACACCGGTTTGCCACGGGTTTGCCACCGGTTTGCCCCTCTTGCCAGGCCTTGTTGAAGCATTGGGATGGCTCCTGGACGACTGGCATCAACATCGGCGTCTACGTCGGGCCACTGGGACCAAAACCGATCTCTAGGCCTTTCCTGGCCTTTCGTGCGGAGTAGGAGACCTGTTGACGTGGGGTAGGGGAGTGAAAACCAGGACACCCGGACCAGGATGATCCTGGTAACTGATCAAAGGAGGACAAGGCAGGAAGGGAAGAAATGGGAAGAATGAGGATGGAATGATGAGACTGCTTTGGTCAAGACCCACCCGGTTTTGACATGATTTTGTTTCCGTGGTCTTCCACGGACAACCGCTTACTATAGTCCTTTTTGTGCGTCAAAAGAATACTCCAGTTCGGAAAAGAAGATCCTTTACCATCCACTGACAATCCCAGCACATTCCAACACAAAGCATGGAATGTTGTTCCCTCCCCATTTTGGCTGGTCAAAATGGCCATCCGCCAATGTGGCATGTTGTCCTCAAAAAGAAGCCCAGCACCTAAAACGTCACAAAACCGCAAAAAGACTGGTGGAACCATCATCATCATCATCATCATCATCATCATCATCATCATCATCATCCATCCACTGCATGTGGGTGGGCTGAGGACCAGTTGCATCTTCCTCGATAAACTCTTGGAGAAGACTCTTGGGCAGGATGGACTCGATGAAGGACTTGAGGCTGCCAGACACCTCGACTCCACCAGGATCATCCGAACCCTCTGGGTGTCCCTGGCTGGACTAGCCTTCAGAAATACCGCCCCCCGTGGATCTGAAGGCCTCAGGGCCTCGCCAGAGGGTCGGATGCTCCAGGTATGTATGTCGTGTGTCGTTGACCCCTTGAGCCCCTTTTCAGCCAGTCCGGAGCCTGTTTGATCGGCATGGTCCCATGGCCAGTCCCACTCGGAGGTTTGGTCAACCTGTTCTTTTTCTCGGATGCGCGGTGCAGTCCCATCGAGCTGAATCCTACGGTCGGTCCAAGCAGGACACAGGTGGCTGGAACTCAGATTAGGTTTTGGGGTGGTGGTTTCTGCCATCGCATCTCCCATTTGCCATGTTGCCATGGTGTTTCTTTTCTTCACCGTGGTTTCGCGTCGCGTCGGGTGTTCTGCTTTCGGTGTTCACTCCATGTCCGGCTTCGCACCGAACGGTCCCCGTTTCGGAACGATCTAACACGCCTTGAACGAGGACAGAACGGACCGAACGGTGTTCGGTGTTCGGCGAAGGAGGCAGACGATAGCACCTCTTCAGGTTCGGTATGACTGGACTCTCCCGAGGTTGAAGGACCTTATAGGACCCTACAGGGGGACCCATAGGATAGCCTATAGGGTTCTTCAACCTCTGCTGGTCTAGACCAACTTCACCTTTAAAACCAAGGTACGGCTGGAGCCGAAACGCGCGTCCGTCACCGTGGTTGTCCTTGGTGACGGACTTACGGGGAACCCTTCCGCTACCACCGGTGTTGATTCCTTCCGTCTAACTATTACCCAAAGGTCATTTGGAGAAGATTCGTCCCCCTTCCTGCTAGACATACTCATGTGTGTTCCCTGCGCAAACGGGACTCTTGAGATGAATGAGCGTGTCCATGCCCAATCAGTAAATCCCGAACACGACTTGAGGAATGATGCTAAAGCATCCACTGCATGCGTTGACACCAATGTCAACATTCAGCCCCTTGGTCGACCAGTTTGCCACTAGCACTTTTGGGTGTTTGCGTTCCTGCTTTTCTCGCTTATCCTTCATGTTTGTCATTCTTTTTCCACCCAGTGAGATTAACTTTCATGCAAAGCGTAGTCTTTTAGTGTAGAAAGTATGGTGTTTTTGTTGGGGAAATGTATACCATCGATGTAAAGCTTTCAGCCGAAGGTGCGAAAGGCGGAGGAGTTCGTCTTCGTTCGCGTGCGAAATGGGCGGTGATAGTCCAGTTGAACTCCCTGGAACTCACATGGAAGTGGAAAAATGGTCATCCAAGGGGCAATGGTCCACTTCAGTTCCAACAGGGAGTGTATTTTGGCCTAAACGACCCCGGCTGTCACTGTGTGGACTCTGAGAGGAAGACCACTCCGTGACAGAATGGATTGCCAGCACCCTGTGGAAAAGGACGCGCCAAAGTCTCCACCAACAGTGGCCGCCATTCAAAGAATATGTTGCCACCATCTCCAAACCCCAAACCCAGCTTAGCTGAGGACTCTCTTCTTCGACCCAAAAACATGGTTTCCATGGTTTCCATGTGGAGCCACCGACCAAAGGGTGGACACCTTTCCACTCCACGGTCACCACCGCCGTGGATCCGACGTTCGTGCTTCACACACCCGAGTCAACGATTCCCATGGCCCGGCCCGTTTGGTCGCGAAACGGGGCACCCTGAAAGACTGGCTTTTCCTTGATAAACCCAGTGGGTTTTTCAAGGTCTATGTGAGTTTTCAGCGGGGCTATCATCTGGAGGACACCGAGGACTCCCTTCCCCTCAACAGATCTAAGCGATGCTCGCCAGCCGCCGAATGGCATAGCTACGCCTGCGGTAACGGTATACTGCATGCGTAGCTGCTGTGCTTTGTCTTGGTTCCTATCTACCCCTGAAAGTCAAACCCCAGTCAGAAGACTCACCTTCCTAAGCCTCGGTCGTCACCGCCTACGCGAAATGAGGCCTACTCTGCAGGAGAACCTGCGTTTGAACCACCGGCACGTCCACAACCTCAACGGCCGCTTCGCCTCAGCGCGACCCGCGGCACCGCGATCCGCCGCTTGAGTCGCGATCGGCTGAGCGAGGGTGACGACCAACGAAGGAAGGGGTGCGTGGTGCGTGATATGAAGACGACCATCCATGGTGCTCTCAACAAATGCGGGAGGATCCTCAACGATGGATATGCAGCATATGAAGGCCCCTTTTCGTCGAACGGTTGGGTGCAGATCAAGAGGTGACGTTCTCTGACACTCATGGATGTGGAGTTCAGTTGTTTGGTCTTCGGATTTCATGGTCATCAATGGTCATCCATCGTCGTGACTCCAATCTTTTTCTCCCCATTGAAAATTGAAGATCATCCAGTGGAGGCACATCCAGCAGAAGTTTCTGAGCCCAAGATGACCAGATACATACCCTAGGGCTCCAAGTACCCTCCTCAAAAGGTACGACTGGACCCTCCTGGCACCCACCCCAGTCCCACCTTCTCAGAGGGTACGACTGGATCCTTAGAATGTACATAGCCTGAGCATGTCAATGATTCTGGATAGGACCGCTCCTAAGGACAGGGTGCCAAGATGTTTGTGACGCCTTCAGCGCCTTAGCAGCGCCATGACAAACCTCACCCTGTTAGCATGACTTGTTGTGAAGTCGTGTAAGAACTCTCCCTGTACTGCCGGTCAATACCAGACTAAACGCGGTTCTCCCAGCCCTTCCGCGCCAATCCTCCACCTCTCCCATCAACCACCCGCACCCGCCTGGGCCTTTCCACAAAAATTCCACTCTGTGTCTCGCCGCCGTAGACCTCTCCCGCTTCCGGCCAGACTTCCGCGTGCTCGGCGCGCCGAGCGCGAGCGGATCGGTCACGGCTCGAGGCCTCTTGGCGGAGCTCAGTCACTGCCCCGCAGAGATGACCGTCGTGGACCACGTGGAGCCCAAGCGTGGCTCGTCGACCGCGTCGCGGCTCGGGAGACGGGTCGACACACCGAGCCGTGGCGAAATGACGGCGTTAGGTGACACTGCGTTGTTCCCCGAAACCAGGGGACACTGCGTGTTTCCCAGACACTCCATGGGACTGCCATGCCTACAATGGGGTGGTGCCAGGGGGGTCAATGGGGCGGCAGTACTTACGGCAGTCCCATGGAGTGTCTGGGTGTTTTTTCGACGTACTTGAGAAGAATCTTGGGGGGATTCCATTCATGTCGGAAAACATGAGCTCACATGAACAATCCATTTTCTTTACCCTGGGAGTCCAGTCGACTATAAAAAGAATGGTCTGACTAGGGGAACTGAAAGGGAACTTCCTTTACTCCAGCCGGTCGAAATATAGTCGAACTGGACTTCTACTGTAGGGTTCCTGGGAAACCAAACAACCAGAAACAAACGGATGTTTCCCCAAACAGCCATTTCCCATGTAAAGGATTTCAATTGCCATATTGGAACAACCGTTTGTTTCTGGTTGTTTGGGTTTCCAGGTTTATATAATGTCATGGATTCGGTGGGCTGAAACCTGGTGAAACCATCCGGTGAAAGATGGACACCTGTGGATGGACACCTGTGGCGAACGTCCAAGATGGAGGCACATGCTTCACTTTCATCATGCTATTTATGGCTTTCATATTAGCCAGAAGGGACCAGTGGCCACCAGGTCTAAGCATTGATTTTGGTGACCATCCAGTCTGATCTGCAGGTGCTTACAGTCGCATCCAACACGGCAGAACAGATGGAAGGTTCGTTGGAGTTCACATCCGGTGAAGGAAGCTGGCAGGTTCTTGATCCGAATCGACTAGTGGATGTCGACCTCCTGTTTTCCGGTCAAACCTGGACCTCGTGGGATGTCGAGTTGAACCAAGGGATCGACAGAACAAGCCGCCCCCCCTTTCTCCTTATAAGGTGGATCAGTTCGCACACGCTTTGGGCGATCCCCCATGTCTCCCGGTTTCTCCCGTGTCACGTCGGTGCCACGTCGGTGCCGCGGTTCCACCCCGAGGCATCGGCAACGAGACGCTGACGCCCGGGAAGCCGGGCATGCCGGCGCCGCTCGGGCGAGCGGGAAGACCGAAGACGGAAGAGTCAGGGAGGACGTCTTTAGATGAACAGACCTCCCCCCATAATGAAGGGTGTTTCAATCCAAAGAGTCTACATTACATTTGCCAGGAGCCACGTTCGTAGCGTTCTTGCTCCTAGTAGTAAGGCCAGGAGCCCCTAGAAGTAGCAGCGTCCTTGCTACATTAGAAGGAACGGAGGATGTTTCGCACCGAGAGCTCTCGGAGCTGCATTGACCACCGTTCGGTGGATCTGCTGAAGACGCTAAGCCGTGTAGACACCTGAATCCTCCTGGAGTGCCAGTGGAGTCCCGATACCTTTGTTTGTTCAAAGGGCGCGTTTGAGTAGTTTCTTTGTTCATAATGTGTTGGAACACAAAGATGAAACCCCCAAACTACCCTCAGCGATCTCTCTCTCTCTCTCTCCCTGCTGTTTTTAGTATTTTAATGTATTTTAAGTATCATTTGCGGCGAGCAAGTATATAGAAATTGAATGAAATTGATATCATTAGGAGAGTCTCTCCAGAGGCTACCACACCAGATCTTTGCAGGTTGCGACTCGGTCCAAAGGACCGAGTCCTATATCTCAAAACGCTGGAGGCAGATGGGGGCAGCATATACGTACGAACATCACAGCATCTACCAGGACCCTCCTGTCAAGGTGTCTATTTCTGGCCCCAAACAGCTGTGAGGAGTTGGGTGTCCATGTTCACCACCCAACTCCTGGGGTCCTGGTAGAGTTGATTCTTCATGGTTTCAAAGATGTGTGTCGTGAGTAATTGAGCCATGGCAATGTTGGGCAAATTCATTCCCCCACCGTGACCTTTTACAGGCCTATATAAGTGACCTCAAGCCCAGGGATGAAAAGGTCACGGTAAAGAACTAGGACATGTTCTATATTTGAGAATGCAAAAAGCCAATACTAGTGCCAATACTATGGCCACAGTGAAAAGCCTTTGAACATGTAACAGAACATGTCACCACCCGCCCGGAAAGCACGCCACCGTGCTTTTTCAAGCACGTGCTTTCTCCGGTCCGCCCAGGTCCTTCGAGGGGATGGGTGATCGGGGCGGCCTGCCCGACACCTTCGTCATCGAGCGGTGCTACACCGTGAACTTCGTCCGGGAACTCTTCGCTGGGCACATGCCGCAGGCGGCGATGGATGCGGAGGGCGGTTCTGGGCGGCTTCTGAGCGTTCTCTCCTTGGATAGAAACAATCCGATTTCACACGATGCGACGTCGTGTATGTTCTATGCGTTGTCTTCCCGTCGAGGGTTCACCGCGTGTTCTTCCGTGCTCATCGACCAAAACAGCGGCGAACCTTTTCTTCGTCGCTTTCCCTCCATTACGCGCCGAAAGCGAAAGCGCGAAGCGACCAGCGGCGAAGCGACTGGCTTCTGGAAGAACATGTTGTTGGGGAAGACCTTTTGAAAAAGGTCAGAGAAGAGTCCAATTTCTTTCATGCTTTCAGGTTGTCCTATCTTGGTGCCCTGACACAACCTTAGACCGAATCGAATGTCACCATCTCAATGAGGAAGGTTTGTTTTGGAGGTGCCGCCCGTCTTTTGTCGTTTCAAAACCCCCTCTTGGTTGGCCCAGACACGTTGGCCGAGACAACCTCCCACCGCTTCATAAACGCCGCCGCCGACGCCGATGAACTGGCAGGTATGGTTCATCGACATCGATGGTTTCCTGCCGAGTCTGTGACCTGGGCGGTGGTTTTTTGCTTCGACTTCGTCGTCTTCCGAACTCGTGCTTCTGCACGTGCCTTTCGGACGAATTCGGCCCTGCGGACCACGGTCTTGGGGGCCCATGGGGCCCCTGGAACTTGGTGTGTGTGTTTCTTCCAGCGAAGAACCCCGTGACCACGTTCTGCTTCGCCGTGCCTGCTGCGCGTTTGGACTTGGTCCGTTGGCAGCGAAACCCAGCGCTTCGCCCCACGGGCAGAGCCACTCTGCGTCGGCCGCAGAGCCAGCAGCTCAGCAGCTCCATCCCACTCTGCTCGCAGGTATCAGCAGATCCACGAGGCCTTCGACGATCCCAGCGTCGAGCTGATCTTGTACGAGCGCGATCGGCCCTACAGTGCCCCAGGCAAAGCCAGCCACGTGGTCGGCAGAAGGGCAGAAGCGCCCATTTATACACACAGATGGTGATGTCAGCACCGTGGAAAAAGTGGCGGTTTAAAACATCATGACAGTGAAAGACCCTGAATAAAACAACATCTTAAGGATCTTTTTCCCTTTGTTAAAACCTGCTTGGATGGCACCCTTAGTTGACAGGCTTGTTGGTCGGCCAGTGTTTTCACCCGGTGCCGACGGACGCCGCCCGGCGAGGGAGGTCTGTCCAGGTCGGCCGGACGGTCGACCGTACCGGGCTGGAGCTTGGGCTTCAGGGGCGGAGCGTCAGTCCCGAAGGTTTGGAGCTCCAATCGTTGCCATCCGAGCGCCACTCCGCCAATCAATCGGTGCGAAGCTCCGTGGCTTAGGCACCGTGGCCGGGCAGTCTGACCACGTTTGGGAGGCTCAATATCGATGCTTGGCGCTTGGGTGCACCGTGTGTGCACGGTGTGTGTTTGGTTTTTGGTGTTGGGTCTTTTGGTGGTCCTGCCAAGCGAAGAAGCAGGCCTCAAAGGTGAGAAAGAGATGGACGGAATCGCTATATGACCCAGATTGACATTGAGGGATGGGGTATGAATCGGTATGAACCAAAGTTGTTTTAGTGAAAGCATCACGCCGTGGTATGCGGTGGTTTCGTGGAGATGGCGATCTCCCTGTGTCGATATGCATGGAGCCGCTCAGCATCTCGTTTTCCGGTTGAATTTGATGGTGCAAAATGGCTGGCGGCTGGTGGTGGCGCCAATCAACACCGCACTCTGCCATCGACATGTGAAATTCTAGTTAAGCTGGTATTGGATTATTGGCGCCACGCCGTGCATTTCGTCTTCGCAACATCACCGACAAAGGTCGGTCGCGACCTGTCCGAACAGGTCGGTGTCGATCTCCAACGAACGGTGTTCCGAACGAACGTTGAGAGTGAAACACCAGGCTCGTTAGGCGATCGACCCTCCGTTTCCGCCACCACACACTCTCAAAACAGGGGACGTCTTAATTAGGGGTAGAATTCTGCAAAAAAAACCTCGTTTTCACGTCCGGAACGTCCCCTTCAACCACTTCCATGCATGGCATTTTCTTTGCGCCATGTCTTCTGATCTCTTCAGACATCGAAAGTTCCACGCATCCGAAGCGTGCGAAGGATGCCGTTTACCTTTTCCCCACCTCCCACCTCTCGGCGAGGTCTCTCCGGGCCCCCGGGGTGACTGTTGTCTCCCCATGGCCATGACCGAATCCTGTCTGAAAATCCCATGATCGCGAAGGTTCCCCGCAGCAGTTCCATCATCCCCAGACACGACCCATGAATGCCAATAGATGCCTACACTGACCTGGGGTGGTTGAAGTCGGTGTCAATGGGGCGGCATGTCCCATGGAGTGGTTTGGCACCGAAAGGATTTCAGCATCCACGACGGGTCGACCCGTGGAGGGACCGGTCGACGGATGGTCCACCGCTCGACGCGGCCGAAGCGAGGAGACATGGAGGACGGCTTCAAACGCCAGGGCTTTCGTGCCCTGCAGCGGCTCGGTGGACGTTCAAGCGCGGTGGCGCGGTGGACGTGCGCTCGTCCGCGATGTCCGCTGGATCCGGTGTTGATGTGCGGGTCCTTCATGCCTTCATAGGTTCTTGCATGCCATATTATAGCCGTTGAGGCCATTTTTCATAGACGTCAGGCCCTCAGACGGCAAAGACACCTCTTATGGGATCATTCTATGTGTTTAAAGAGCCTCTCCTTTGCCTCGACAAAAAGGACCTCCACCAGTGGTTGATCCAATCGCGGGGCTCAGTGGAGGGGATCGAGGATCTGGAGACAGAGACAACACCTTGTCCTTGGGAGGGTATCGATCGAAGGATCTTCAATGTTTAAACGACATCCCAGACACTCCATGTATGCCATATATGCCTACATATGGAGCGTCTGGGTATATTGGGCATGAGTCAAAACCTGCAGCCCTGGAGAAAACCCATGTAGCGAAGGACTGTCCGGTCAACCAAGGCATCAGGGTGCCATGACCCACAGCCATATTCAACGGTGTTTTAATTGCTTTTTGAGTCGACTTGTTCAACCTCGTGTAGATTCCATTGCCAACTGTTTCTGAAGCAGGCTGTGCTCAAAGGGGCCTCCAGAAACATCCAAAAACGCTGGTGTGACTGGTGTGTGTTCGTGTGTGTGGGTGTGCGTGTTTTTGCCCGAAGCCTGGGCTGCGATTTCGTGTCAGGTGTGACAACATTATGTGGGGCATTTGGGTGTGGCGCCGCGGCGGGCCGAGCTTCACGATTCATCTCTGGCTGCTGTTGGGCTGGATGGCATGTCTGGTCAGCATGTGCCGGAGATGCAGGAGATGAACCCTAGGCCTCCAGTCGTACCTTCTGAGGTGTTTGGGGTGGGTGCCAGGAGGGTCCAGTCATACCGAACCTGAGGAGGTACGACTGGAGATGCAGGAGATGAAGGGTGAGACATGGCTAGCGACCCGTTGAGACCATCTACCGACGGCGGAGGTCGAGATACGCGTTTTGTTGAGGTGCGGCTCGGCTCCAGGTGGGCACCCCATTCCCGTTTCTATGGCGCAAACTTGCTGGGTGTGCTTTGGAAGACACATACCTCCAAAGCCTAATGCAGGTCTTCAAATGTTTGGTTGATTGGTTTTGGTCGTCTTCTCAGGTCACTGGTTGGCTTATTCAACAGGACTCTTCCTTGCTTGGTGCTCGCGGTCCGAGCACCGCGGACCGGTGGACGAAGACCCTCCTTCGACCTGAAAACCAGACGCTTCATGCGCCGTGCCGCCGCGTTGATCGAACGATCTCGCCGCGTTTTTCGCGAGAATAGATGGCCTTTTGACAATTGGTTCATAGAGGGGATACCCCCTATAATACATATGTACATTGCACAACCAATGGGTCGCATGTCGCATGTACCGATTTCTCAGGGCTGTTCCTGCACCGCACCGGACCTGGGTCCCCCCTCAGGTGCCTGCTAAGCGATCTCCTGGTGCCTCCGAAGGCAGCTGAGGGATCGATCTGCGCGGCGCGCGCTGGAGACGCGGCGGAGACGCGGTGGAGACTGAAGGGTACGGGAGCGATGGAGGAGCACCATGTGGGAGTCCCAATATATGTGACTGTTCAAGGACGATCGCCAAGCAGGTTCAGATTGGGAATTTGGAAGGACGTGACTGTTTGTGAAGTGGTGTGGCCCTGCGTGCTGTCCTCATTCGTACGGAAAAGAAGACTCTTGAGATCTCTTGAGTTACCATTCTAGAGCCCCCAGATGAAGAGCTTGTTCCCTTCAACTGGAGGGTTTTACTCAAGAGTCTACATTATGTCCTCCTCCTCCTCATCTCTTCGTGCCGTAGGTAAAGAAGTGGCCGGTGCCCGTGTGGCGCTTGCTGGTCTTGCTCTGTTGGCGGATGGTCTACGAAGCACTGCCGAGCCTGCCGGTGAACATGACCGATCCAATTACCGGATTGGATTGCACATGGACCCTGGGGCCATGCTGGATCTGATGTCGGGTGTGATCACAAAACATGGAGCCCCTCTCCCTCTCCCTGGTAGCTTCATAGGCCTGGTATAGTCTATTCTGTTCGTGTTCCATGGTCAACCAGGGTCCCCGGTTTTGACCCACAGCCCATGTGGTCCGATATGGTCCGATCACCAGGTTCCGGTTCCGGTCGCCGTTCAGCAGCGGACTCGGACTCGGCGGTGGCGGACAAGTCTGGCGACTCTCGGGTGGTGGACTCGGGGGCGACACGGGAACCGCGGCCGTTCTGCGGTGACTCTGAGTGACATGAACGGAGAAGTTCTCGAAACTGAGATCGATTTCTCCATGCTGTGGGCCGTGAACGTCGATGTGGTGGGGGGAATTTGATGTGCAATGCGATTCCTATATAGGACCAATCTGCGAAGTGTTGGAATGTGCTTAAGTGGTTGCGCTGCAGAACTTATTGGAATTCTGGGAAATTCTTTGGTGTCTCCCATCACTTGGGGAGCCTAAATCTGAACCGTTAGGCCGTACCCATCATGCATTAGCTTGTGGTGGTGAGGCATGCCCAAGATCCACGTTCAGCCCATTCCAGTTTGTCACAGGTCTTCCCAAACAACACCCTCTAGCAGCTGCATGGAACCTCGAATTATCCTGTTATCCTATCAATGAATCTGAAATCTTGCGAAAGCTGTTTCCCATGTGTTTGCTCCATGGCAGTGGCAGTAAATGTTCTTCGGTCCTGGGTTTAGGGGGAAGCTTGGTTGTTGAAAGATGTTCAAAGGTGGGTTGTCAATCAAGGAACGTTTCAACGGCATCTCCGATCGAGGTAACCCGAGGACGACGCAGGGCGTGACGTGCAACATGAACCTTTGACCTGACCGTTTTTCCCTTTTAAAACACCAAAACAATATTTACACCAGTCAGCATAGACCCCAGATAGCAAAAACATGCAACATATTTTTCTGGACTGCACCCTTTTTACACTGAAAAAGATCGCCAATGTTCTGGCTGCTTGGAGGAACAATGTGCAAAGAGCGCGTGCCATCTACGGGATGCTGTATTTTGATTCATAACATGGTTTGTGAATCTGACGCTTCAAGAATAGATCCCGGCGCCGGCACCCCAGCACCACGCGCACAGCCAGCTCACAGCCCCCAGCACCAGCACCCGGCACTGGCACCCTGTCTCCACCACGCGCACAGAACCCAGCACCAGCACCACAGCCAGCAACGGCACCCGGCACCGGCACCCCTGTCTCGAAAGCGCGCACAGCCAGCTCATTGTTTCTTGAAGTAAGAACCCCATAGCTGCTGTTGCTATCTGAGGAAATATTAAAAAGCAACTAAATGGCATCGAAATTCAGCCATGCGTTGAAACAAAACCGGACCAATCTCAAAAAAGGGTTCCGAACTGTTCCTCTCCCAGGATATGCATTCATCATGGCTTGGCCTTCGCCATCTCCAACTTCCTTTTCCTCTATGTCGCCGTCCTTTGGCCCCTCGCAAAGGCGCGCCATTTCTTCCACGCGCGATAGATGGACCACTTATATGTCAAACAGAACTGTCAGGTTCTTTTTCTTTGGGCATGAGTGCTTGATTTGTTCTTCACTTAAAGTGGAGGCTTTCAATAGGACTCCTCACTAGAAAAGGCATTCAACACAATCCCTAAAATGTCAAACACGTTCCTATCCGACACGTCACTGTCCCTTCCAGCCGACCCATCTTGTCGTGACGAAAAAGCGCGCGCGATCTCCGCGGCGCAGCTGGCGCACGGGCTCAGCGCCCCTTGTGGCGAGGCGTTGGCGCTCCGTACCTGGGCGATGCATCCCTTCTGGCTCCCCTGGGTGCTCTTCACGGCGATCGCGGAGTGCCCCGGCCCTGCCTGCGGTCGTTCCGGCCTACCCCCGCGTCGGGGGCCGCCGCGCGCGACCGCGACAGTCCCGTCCCCGCGCGGGGCGGTCACCCTCCGCGGAGGCGGTTTGGAACTTCGGGAGGTTGGTGTGAAGGAGAGGTCCGCAGAGGAAAAACACGCTCAGTATGTACCAGCACCGTCCAACAGGTCACCACCTCCAAAAGCCACCAGAGGAGACCTGTTGGAGGGTCCTGGTAGAGGTGGATTCATGTAGATCGAGGTCGATCTGAAGAATCATGCCCCCCTGGAATATCCGGAAGATCCCATGAGAATTCCTCTGAAGAGACCCCTGCGGGGGTGAGATAGAATCAATCAAGATCTATGGCCTCCTGTCGCGAGATGTCCATCTGCCTTTGGCGAGGTGCAAAACCACTTTGGTCCTTTGGTCCGCGCGCCCTGTGTTTCACAGCGGGAAAAGAAAGACGAAGAAAGCGTGTTGGAGCGCTGCCCTTCACGTTGAGCCAAACAAACTCTTTTCAGAGATGGACCATGGTTTTTCACATACCAGGACCCTCCAACAGCCTGGCTGTTGGAAGAGACCCTAACAGGTGGATTCTGGGCACCGGACTTGTCACCAGGAAGCACCTGTGAAGTCGGGTGCTGGTATCAGTTCTATCGCCTCCTCCTACTTTTGTGTGCGGTAGATACTCTGTGCACAGTACTTAAAGGAAGGTGGGAGACCTCCGGGAGACCTCCCAGATCCTCCCACCCCTGGGTTCGGGAAACGGGTAACATATCGACTCAAACAAAAGAATAGACCAGTCCACCGTAATACCTATTCAAACAGGCCCAAAACTGGATCTGTCCAAACAAAAACGACCCGGAATTTCAGAACACCATGCCGTCCCTCTCGCTCCCACCCACATGTGCCCCCCATTCTAGCTCGCACGTGGCATGACCCGCGCGCCACGTTCCGCGCGCCACGGAGGTCGCAGCTGCTCCTGGGATTTCTGCTCCACGCGCTGCTTCGAGCCCCGGCCGTGCCGCCCGTGGGGTCGTTGTGCTTCGGCCCGGGGCCGCAGCAAAGCAGCTCGAGCGGAACGGTGGAGTCGGTGGGGGTCGGCTGTGGGGCGGGGTGGGGTGACCGCGGGACGCCCTTTGAAAGCAGGGTGATCAAGGCCGGCCTAGCCTTCAAAGAACACCAAACCGGTCGACCAACAGGTCAGCATATCGGTTTAACAAAACGCTCCACCGGCGTCTAGGTCTTTGTCCTACGGCGTCTACAGGGTCCTCCGCGTTGAACATCTTAGCCGGCCGGAACCGCCATGAACCGCCACAGTTGGAGGTTCAGTGGCTGCGACCACCTGGTAGCCAGGGGCCCGAAGCAAACCATGAAAAAACACGGTTTTCACCATACAAAAACCATGGTTTCTTGCTTAGGGAAAACCCAGATGTTTGAGGGTTTTTTTGTGGGAGTCTTCCTGGAGTCTTCCCAATCCGGTGGAACACCCCGGAGCAATCCAAAGCGCCCAGACGTGGTCCCAAGTCCGGACTGCCAGTGGGACTGCCGAGAGTGAAGCGGTCAAGGTAGGCTATGGCCTTTTCTTATGGAGTGTTTGGGATTTAATCTATCATTCCACTATGGCCTTCAGTTCGACCCTCAAAAAGAATTCGGTTGACCCTGTTGTTAGTGTAAATTCCTTCGTACAGAATACCTGGTGGTTCGAAGATTAGACCTTTCAACCGTTGCAAGCCTATAGGGATTCCATATCGATCCAGTGCTCACTTGTCCTCCCTCGCCCTCCGCTTCGATTCGGAACCCGCGCGGGGCACCCCGCGAGGTATGTGGGAGCTCTCCGTGGGAACGACGCTGGCGTTGAGCCTTGGGCTGCTGCTCTTTGTGGAGATGCAGCCCGAGCGCCCACCGCCCGTTTAGCTCCGAAAGAAAAAGAGAAAAGAAAAGCACGGCACCGCGCCACGTGCGACCCGGTGAGGGTACAGGAGGAGCCAAGGTGGAGGGATGAGTGACCCCTCAGCAGCACTGCCTTGCAGCCCACTTTCGTCCACTAATGTGGGCGTTTTCCGGGACACGAGTCCGCGAGTCGCGCGGACTTAGACTTAGCAGTACGGTTTTTCTTTTTTTCCTTTTTGTGCCAAGGCTTGGAGACAAAGAGGTCGCACATCAATCTTGAAGATAGGGCTTGGTCAGGTGCAACCTGAAATTCCCGTTGCTTGTTTGTGACATCGATCCACCAATCAATGTTGTTATTGATTTGGATACATTCCCATGTGTGACATGGTCACCTGAAACATACGTAGTTTTGGTCGCCTGTCGCCAACCGTGGTGGCCACAAAATTGGTCACTGTAAGTGGTCACTGTGAGTTCGCAGATGTTCTGCAGGACAGACAGATTGGTTCAGATGAACCTCGCAACCTTTCAAGTCCTCAAGTCCGTGAAGTTTCCCTGCTGTGTGGGTGGTCCAATCCTCGCCAAAGCGAAGGATCCGGGCTCAAGTCAGTGAAGGTGGAGATGCACAGTCAAAGGCCTAGGGAATGCTCAGTCATGACTGACGGTCGAAGCCACTCGTCGTTCTTCTTTGACTTCGAACACGGAGAACAGGACGTTGCGCAGGACGTTGCGTCACTTCCTTTTTAGAGGGAAGTGTCCCGTCTTCCTACGTGTAACCCTACCCGGACGTGTAACCGTGTCTTTCAGCGACGGACGAATCCGAGGGGTGACGCGTTCACCTGCCTTTACCATGCCTCAGACCCCAAAAAAAGACCGCCGGAGTTCTTCAACTAGTCGTGCTTTTCGGTCATGGCCTTCACATCGCCCTTCATCTGGAGGATGCACCACAAAAAAAGAACACACAGACCTCAGAAGGTATGTTACGTTAGGTTTCTGAAACACGTCATTGATCCATACATTCACCGAAACAACCTGCCCACAAAGCCGCTCTAAAACGACGTCCGACAGCGACGTCCGGGGCGTTTGCATCAACGTTCCCGTGTGGAACCGCGGGGCGTTTCTGATAGGGTGGTAAACTCAGCTATCATAGAACTGAGTGGTGGTGGTGTAGGTTGACTTGGACCTACAAACCCTTGACTCATCACATTTTTTCGACAGGCCTGATGAAGGCCCTGATAGGGGGTTAGGTAGGCCGTAACGGAAAACACTACTGGAAGCTGTTTTCACGTGCTATCACAAACCCCATAGACTAGAGCCATGAAAGACTTAAGAATCTTGAACTGAAGGCATCTCTGCCATGAGAAGCCTCACCAACTCGCTCCATCATGTCGTTGCGCTCTCGCTGCTCCCCAGTGGCTTGGCACGCCATGTGGCGATCCTCCGGCTTTGGAATTCATCAGATGTGCTTCTTGTTACTAGTAGTAAGAATGCTCCTAGTAGTGATGCCAGGAGCCCCTAGTAGCGTCCTTGCTCCTAGAAGGCCAGGAGCGCCTAGTAGCTTCCAAGAGAGGGCTCAAGAGTTCTTCTCATTTAGCTGACTTTCTCTATTCAGTCAGTCCAAAAGGTTCATCAATTAAGAAAATCACGGAGATTCTCGCAGTATTAAATTTTTACCATCGTTTGGTGCCAAGTAAAGAACACCAAACACATTTGGAGAGTCAACGTTGGAGCATCGCAGCAATAAAGAAGCTATGTTTGACTCCTCAGTCCCCCAAAAAAGATGCCCCTGTTGGTGCCCAAAAGATCGACGGAGGAGGCTGAAGTTCTGTTGGAATCCCTGACCGAACGTTCCGCCGAAACTAAGAAGACGGCAAAACATGGCGGGTGGCAGCTGAATTTTTGTGTGAAGGATATAGAGATAAACCACACAAAGCATGGCTTTATGATGGTGATATCGGGGGAACCATGAAATTCGTTCTTTTCGGTGATTGGGGACTCGGTGATGTAATTATCCCGTTTCATCGACCTCACGAGAGAGATCGTGAGCTTAGCTCTAAGGTGAGTAAACATCGTAAAAAGGGTCAGAGACATATGAATATGGGTTATCCTGTTGCGCATCACAAACATGATGTGAGGCTTGATGTGAGGCGTTCAGCAGATGTTTTTGGTTCAACAAGATGGATGACTAAGACATAAGCCACACCAGGGGCCCTCAAAATAATGAAAAACACAGGTTTTCACATACAAAAACCATGTTTTTTGCCAGGGAACATCAGGTTTTTGATGGTTTGTGGGGCCCCTGGCATGGCCTTTTCCCAAAGTGGGCACCACGAGGGCGTCACGGGGGGGGCGTCCGACACTCTGCACTACACGGGACGACCACGTGACAATACCCAGAGGCGACCGCCATCTGGGACTGCCATAGATATACCGCGCCATAGATATCTGGGTATACCCCCCCCCCTGGCACCACCACCAGCCCTGGCCGGCCGTTTTGAAGGCAGTCCGGACTGGCAGTCCCGGCGGTCGCGTTTGGGTCTAACGTCTTCGGTCCTTTGGGACCTGTTCGTCCCACTTGGGATTGAGGCGTTCACGCGAGAGTTCGAGTGTTTGTGGCCTCGTTGTTTGGTTCAGTTCAGTTTTTTTGGGGAAACCACTGAAGAAACACTAGTGGTTGTTTATTCGATTGTTTGTTCAGTGGTTTGTGCAGCTTGAGCAGCCTTTTTGGTGTTGAAATGTCTTGAACATCCATGAAATATCATTCGCAGGGGTGCTCCATTGATGCCCAGGCAGCCTTTCGATCATCTGTGATGGCGAATCACATTTGCACATTGCCAGCTTCACCAGCGACTTGACTGGAGTCAACCTGTGATGGCAATGTCACCAGAAATGAGAGGTAAGACCGGCAAAACCCTTAGTACAGTGGACCTCATGACCTGCAGCCGATTCTGTTCCGTCCCGCCCCCCCCCCCGGCACGACGTCGGACCCGGACCTTTGGCGAAGCGGCTCGCCCCTTGTGACGACCGGGACTGCAGGTGAGCTGGCCACGTCCATGGGGGCCTTCTTCGCCTCCACGATGCGGATGTTGGGCCGCGTGACCTTGCTGGACGACGGCAAAGGCCCACGGAGAGCGGTCGGACGGAGGGAGGAAAGCCTCGCCAATGGGGGTGTCACTGCTAGTAGCTGAACTTCTGTTACAGACCCCAAGCATTCTGTCCCCAACAGAAATGGGGATTCTCAGGGGGGGGCTTGTGGTTTGGACTCTTTCAGAATGTTCTACGCTTGTTCTTGCTTAGCAAACTGAATCCTTTCTTCTGCTTTTGACTTTTGTTCAACATCCAGGAGAACATCCAGGAGTGGCAAGGTGTGAGTCGCCGTTTGAGAACTATCTCCCAACACAACAAGACGCTGTAGTGAGCCATGTTTTTGTTAATCCTTGGGAAGTTCTGTGCTGATTTCTTCATGTTCTTGACACCCTCCCGCGACTTTTCAAAGGATCCATCTTCCTAAACCCCCGGCCAACGCGTGGAAGAGCCGTCCACGCGTGGTCCTTATATTGGGCTCCATGCAGGAGCCACGTGGCCGCCCTACAAGCGGCCTCTTGGTGGAGCAGAAGGGGAAGGGGCTTTTCCACCTCTCGAAACTAAATCCTATCGACACGACCGCCATCTGGGACTGCCAGTCACTGAGAAACGACCAGGGGTGGTGGCATGGAATGGAAAATCATGGAGTGTTTTGGGTATGCCAAGATCAATTGGACCCCCCCCAATCTGATTTCGGCCACAAGGTCAAGTTCGTCCCAACAGTGTCCGCCTACCTTGGGACCGTTGGGAGGTCCGAGCATCGGAGCTGCTCGGAGTGGAGGAGGAGAGGTCCTGCTCGAACCTCCTTAGGCAGAAAAGAACGGATTCTCTGCAAAATCCATTGAAACAGGGCAAAGGATCACCGCCGCACCGCGGAAATAGATCTGTTGAAGGACTTGGGAGGTGATGAATCAAGAGAGGTGCACATTCTCTTGTACCTTTGGACAGTCCCTCCAGTTTGTCCACGAGTTCTTTGAGGTTGCTGATCTACCGGGACTACTTGCGGCGCTTGCCAGACCTGTCGATCTGCGATTGGGTCCTCCTCATCGACAGCATTTGGGCGCAGAATTAGGGCGGCACAGTTGGGAGGGGGCTTAGCAAGACGCTACTAGTAGCTCCTAGCATTACGACTAGGAACAAGAAGCTGCTAGTAACAAAGGGCATTACTAGTAGCAAAGGTTCCTGGAATTTCCTATGCTGCAGCATTAGATGGTCACCTGGCTCATGTGATGTTGCGTGAGACTTCTCACTTTGACCGCTGGGTCGACCGACACCCGGAGGGCCGAAGACGTCCCACGACCGGTCCAGCTCGGCATACGACCGATCGTTGGCGTGCCTGAGATGAGGCACCAGGTGTTTGGGGGGACCCGAGGAAACGTGAGAGGTCACGGCACCGGTGAGGGTGGCGTGGTTTTTTCCGGCGACTCGGTGAGTGACTCACTCCAACAGGCTATGATACGGTGATCATGGAGGGCGAGGAGGGGATTCTGGAGATTCTGCACCCCTGGCAGCACTGTGAATGCACTCTCTTCGGCCAGCCGGCTGGGGCGGGCGGCGGCACCCGGCACCCAGCCCCGCGAGCCCCGCGGTGCGAAAGATGCGGAACATGACAGTGGGCGTTTCCCCTTTCGAAAAGCCATGAAAGGGTTGGGTGAAGTGGGTGAAGTGATAAGGCTAATCACCACAGTTGGGTTGCCCGGTTGGCCCGGTTGGCGGAGGCCTTTCGCCGGGACGGTGCAGTAGGTGAATTCCGGTGAACTCTGGTGAACTCCCTATACCCCTACGGTTTCGAGCGAGAACATCGGTGCCGGTGGTTGAAGAGGTACATACCGGTCTCGTATAGCGCTGGGAAATGATATACTGTACCAGCACCCTCCAACAGGTCATCACCCGCGACTTTGACTTCTCCAAAAGCCACCATTTCGGAGACCTGTTGGAGGGTCCTGGTAGATGGTCTTCGCATCAAAAAAAGGAACCGACTTGGACCCACGCCTTAGACCGAAGCATCCAGGAACGACACTCGTCGCCACGGTCGGTCTGGTTGTGCCCGGTCGGTCTCCGACCCGTGCCACCGCCCCTTTAGGGTCGCCCTTTCCAGATCCAAGGAAGGATCCTCTTCCCTTGTGGCACTCAAGTCAGTGCTTCGGTGCGTGCTTGTTTTGGTTGGTTTTTCACCAAAGACCTCAGGCATCGCTTGGAGCAACAGACCGGCGTCTCCTCCTTCTTCGGCGCGGAAGCCCTCTGCCAGACCGAGTGCCGAGCTCAGGAGCAAGCCGCCGCCCAGCCCCTTCGCGGCGTTTGGAAGGACCGCGCTTCAACGATCTGGGACGAGGATCGGCTGAGAATGCGGTTTCTGGATTTTGGAGTGAGGGGGATTCTAGGTTGCTGGTCCTTCTTTCTTCTTTTGCGGCAGTTCTCCATGTCGAAAGGATGCGCATCTGAAGTTGGAAGTCGATTTGGAAATGGTTTTGATGCACTCGTGACGGGTGTGTTTTGGATGTGTGTCGGGTGTGTTTGTGACGGCCTTAATGGGGATATGGCTAATGGTGCTCTCAAATGATCTAAACCAAGGAGGCCTTCAATGAGATTATGTGACCAATGAGCAAACAAGTGAGCAAACGATGAGCAATTCATGCTTTTACATGACGCGGCATCGTACGCGGCATCGCACGTGCCGATGAACAATTGTGTGCCGATCTCCCTCCCTTCAACCTCTTCGGATTATCTTTTGGCGAAAGAGGCCAGGTGGCTCTGTCCAGGTGTGGTCTGTCCCAGGTTCCGCTCGATTCACGCCCAGACCCCTTAGGCGCCACGTGGACACGCCCTGGAAGTACTTGATGCTTGGCAACGGACCGGCACCGGGAGGGTTCTTTTTTGCGCAGACAACAGGACCCGGTGAGAAAGGCTCACCGGTGTTCATGCAATTCGGAAGACGCTGTTCCAAAAGCTCTCTCAAAGAGGGAGAATGTGATGTTTAACATGTTGAAAGGTCTCCAAGCTGAGAATGCAAGAACCTCCACATTCCGGGGGTCCTTCCCCAAGCAGCTGGCGCGGACCGGTTCCCTCCCGCCCACCGGGCGTTCGGCCTCTCCGAGGAACGCCGGGCTCCACGCGGGACGCTTGTGGGCGATGCGACGGATTTTCGAGGAGCCCATCAATGTGAGCACTGCGTGGACGGACCAGGTGCAACTGCAGCGTGGTTGGGTGTGGGTTTGGGCTTTGGGGGGTGGGTATTTGGGATGCTGGTTGGCTTTGAAGCGAAGCAGAGACTCTAGCGCACCAACAAAATATGCCATTGGAAATTGGGGTGGTGAGAATGTTTGGAGGACATTAAAAACCTTTTGAGAAAATGGTTACTAGTCCTTGTAGGCCTCAGTATTTGGGTGTGCATTGTGCATTGTTTTGCTTTTGCAGGTGTTAAGATAACACCAACAAAGAGCACGATATAGTGAGATGATAGATGGTTTTCTGTCAACAGGTGCTCAAACTTGAGTCTTTTTCCACGTTAACACTTTCTGGGGGGTTGTCAAGGGCTCGTTCTCTTGTTGTTTGTCGACCCCGTGGAACCTCCAACAGACCCAACAGACTCGACTGTTCGGAGGTCTGCAAGTCCGAAGAAGCGTCCGGGGAAATGGCAGGACTGGGCGATCAATCTCACCCTGGCCAAGCCTGATCTAGCAGTTCTGGACTATCGCCAGGAGCTCTTCATGACTCTGGGCGAAGAAAGGATGAAAGATGAGGGACTTCTCTTTTCTTCCGCCTCTCTTCTCCCCGTGTGTCTAGATGTGTTTCTTTGGGAAGGGTTTGATATGGGCCATGTGAATGGGGCCGAGAGTGGGGAGGGTCAGTGTAGCTACCTTCGCAGTACCGGTGGAATGGAAGGTGAGCAGTTGACGAAAGGTTCTTTTTCCTGGTAACAAGTGGTAGTAGTCCCCACACGTGGATTGGTATGGGTTTGGGAATGGTTTTGGTGGTGGTTGTTGCTGTACTGTAGTGTCCCCGGCACTTTCTTGGATAATCTTGGATATGTTTTGCCTTTGGTTCTTCGCAGACCTTGGATGTGTAGAATCAGAGGAACAGACTACGGATGACTACGGGAAATGCACGCGAGAAGGTCGTCAGCTTCGTTCTTGCTCCTGTACACTGGTTTCTATCAGACAGCTTCGACAAGAGCATCACTGGCGCCATCTCACCTGTCCAGAAGGAACCACCCACCCCACCCCACCAACCCTCCGTTTCGACGCCGTTATCGACCGTACCCGTGGAACCCGATGCCGTTCCTGGGGAAGCCGGACGGAACCCCGCGGAGGAACGCCTTCAGCATTCAGGGCCTTCAGCCGGAGCTGCCGGAGCTGGCGCGGTCCTTCGGGCAACCGGCCGGCGCCCTCGCCGTCGGCGCGGACCCGGCGGCGCCGTCGTCGCGCCACGGCGGGATGGAGGGGGGCGGTGTGGAAAGGTCGAAGGGGGGGAGGTGGGCGGAGGAAGACGAAGAGGGTTTGCTGATTCGATGTGTCGGATGCTCTTGCTGATGGTTCCTGAAACGTAGCTCTCCACGTTTCCAGGCTAGCAGTTAATATACATTGTTTTAAGTGTACAATCATCTCCCCACCCCTTCGCACCATCGGCGAGTCCGAGTCCGGCCCAGGACCGGCCCCTTCCTCGTTCGTTTGCTGGTTCCCCGAGGCATTGGATCGAGAACCGAATCACCCAGACGCGGCCGCCCATCGTGCACTTCCCCGGCAACGCCGCCCGGAGAGGAACGGCGGAAAGAAGAAGAGACGAGGGGAACGGTGTTTTTGCACTTTCGGAGGAACCGGCAGCAGTCCGTTCGTTTGCTGTTTGGAAAGAAACCCAAACGAGCGGAAAACACAGGTTTGTTGGTTCCTGGTTGGTCGCTGGTTGGTTGGTTCCGCCTCTCCTGTGCCAAAAAAACATCCATGGTTCCTGGGATGGGGAGCGAGCGGAACCCGCGTGGGTGGGTGATTCGATTGCCAGGTGAGGTCACTGGAACTCTCGAATCAACATCCATCGACATGTGGTGATCCTGCGGTGACTGCCGCAAGGGGTGGTCTAAGGTCGTGGTGGGTGAAAAGAATGACACCATTCCAGGGGTCACGTTCGACGGGGTGACGTTGGGTTCCATCCAGGGGCCGTGGATGTGACGATCGGGCACCCCGACTTCCTCCAATAGTATTGGGCACCCCGTCTGGTGACTCCTGACGGATCTTTTAGGGGGCACCCACCCAATGGCCAAGGACATTCCTGAACTCGGATCACCGTACATCAAACCGTTTTTGTGTGTTTCTAATGGTCGAAGAACCGGACTCCTGGCGAGGATTCCTCAAGGCTGTCCCCGCCGAAAGGATCGAAACCTTGTGTTCCAGGCGGTTTTTGGTGGCGAGCTCGGCAAGGATCAGGGACGAACAGGGCCGAACTGTGGGATTCCAGCCCAAAATGCGTAGACTGCTTGATCTTATCAACCCCCCCCCCATCTCTGTATATATAGGAGGGGGTGTTCATGAATCCAGAGTCTCTTACATGTGTATTAAACCCATCCATCAACGCTTCCTGCACCCATGACCTAGTCTCGCTTCCGAACCGCCCCAGACCAAAGGAACTCGCTCCGTCAGACGGACGACGCGTCGCGAGGCGAAGTTCCCCGCGCTGGGCGCCTGCACCGAGCGGCCGGAGCATCTCTGCCAGCAGTCCTTGCCCTTCGAGGCGGGACCGGGACCGGCCGGGACTGGGCGACAGCTTTGGGAGCGGCGCGCGCCAGCCCGTGTGCCTTTAAGACCTGAGCCGGGGGGATTTAGGCCAGAATGATTTTATAGGGGTCCATGAAATGTGTTTATTATATAACATGTTTTAACATGTTGAGAAGGAGCCGAACAAGAAAAAAACCTTTGAAAAAGAATGTTTCCAGGAAAAAGAACGGATCCAAGGATGCAACAAAACGCGCTTGTCTGTGTGTCTGTTGACCAGACCAGACTATCCTAAGTGAGTGGATCATGGGCACCCAGTTGGGCACCCTTATCCTCCAAGTTCGGCACCCCTTTGCTTTGTGACTGGATACTGGTAGAGTGCATGCAGTTTCAGTCATCTTCCTACATTGGAAGATCGATGTCTGAATTCACTCGTCCTGTCACTCTGAAGCCGCCGTATATCTCCCCTCACACGACCCACCGGTTCGGCCATTCGGCTCCGCGACCGGTTCGAAGGTCGGAGAAGTGAAGAACGAACGGTTTTCAGAGCGGTGAGATGAGACCAGCATGCTACACCTGTACTGGATACGGAAGCACCATGGGATGTAAAAAAAAAGTATAAGTTGACGAAGACACTATAGTGCACTGATTTGGGAGTTCCACTGATGAACATCAACATAATTGGCCAATATATTGTGACATTCTTCGCAGCCAGACGGCAATCCGGGAGCCAATGATATCAACCGTGGGCGTCGGACTTCCTCCGAGTGCCTGTGTTTGCAACGGCAGGTGGTGAGGCTTTTGCTGCCAAGCGCGTGGAAGGGATGGAAGCTCAATGAGATGCAGGCCGGATGGGGTGTGGCTCTCTATCGGTAGAGCTACTGTAACTGACGCAGGTTGGAAAAGAAAGAGCGCGCGCTGCCTCAACTTGAAGAACTCAGGTAGCTACTCCTGAATATTGAATATGAGTTCTCAAGGACTTGCAGGAGACTCGGAGATGAAGATTCTGTTCTTGTCAATCTTTTCGGGTATCATCATGCCAGGAGAAGTCATCCACCTGGGAACACGGCGCAGCAAATCAAAGGGATCCATCATGATCAATCCAGGGTTCAGCCGCTCTCTAAACGATCAACGTCAGCGACGAAAGGAACGGAGATGTGTGGGGTGGATCTTGGGCTTGTCCCCCCACTCCATACGTGCCCGCAGGTCGTATACGCATGACGGGCGTGCGGAAGAGCAGCGCAGCGCACCCCCGACCATGTGCGGCCGAAGTGATTCAAGCGTGGTCAAGTCCGACTTAGCGTCCTTCACTCCTGTAGTAGCGATGCGTGGTTCAAGTCGTCAGGACTTGCTGGACGACTTCTCGCAGTTCTCGCTCTTCCGAAAGCCCATGAGTCCCTACCACTTCCAGTACCAGGCAGAACTCATGCCGCGTTCGTTACGCGGGGTGCGGCCTGCGCGTGGCGAACGAAACAAGGGCATCGAAATGCAGAAGGGGAGGCGTTTTTGTACGTTCGAGCTGGGATGTGTTTCCACAAACCGAATTGGTGTGCATGGGGTTGAGAAAGTGGACTGGAGACTCCTATTGTTTGGAGTTTCTAGGTTTAACATCCAGGGAAATGATCCTACTGATCCTCAGGGAGCCCATCTTGGCATTGACCAGTGACTGGGACGTGCTGAAGTGCCACTCGTGCCGTTTATGAGGTGAAGAAAACCACGCCGAAACAACCCGAGACCTTCGGCGAAGCTAACAGCGTTTCTCACACGTTCGATCGCATCGCAGCTGAATCGATCGCAGGCGCTCTGGGAAGTTGTACAACAGCTGAAGGACCGGGACCATGTGCTCAGCTACCTCATTGCCGGCCACGTGTTGGTCCTCCTGTGCCCTGGAACAGATGGGGTTAACGGAGGGGTTTCCCCCGCCTCCGCCGAGGTCTTTCGGTTGGATTTTTTTCAATGACTCGTTATCCTGGGCGAGGTTTCCAGGATCCATCTAACTGAAGTCCTGTTGGTTCTCAAACCAGTTCAAACGGGAAAAAACCATCCAACTTGATCTGCACCCTTTTCCAGTGTTTCAGTTGAACAACCAGGAGTCGCAAGACGGGGTGCCGAACTTGGAGGAAGTTGGGGTGCCCGATCGTCACATCATCCACTCACTGGATGGGACCAAACACCACCCCGTCTTGTGACCCCTGGAATGAGACCCTTGTGGCTCAATGGATTTGGGGAACCATATGCCTTCTTCCAGGCGAATCTTTGTGGGAGTCGGCCCGCCCTCCAGGGCCGCTGTGAGCTACTGCGGCTGGATGAGGTGCAGCAGCCGGAGCTGCACGGTCCAGCGCTGCTCGGTCTGCGCCCCAAAGAAGGGCGTGCACGCGGTGTAGCCAAAAGGAACCCGAAGTCGACGATGGTTGGGCTGGTCACGCGCCGTGGCGAAGGGGCTGGTAGAACGGGCGACCCGAGCGAAGGATTCAACACGAAGTACGGAATCCAAATGGAATCGATCTGCGAAGCAGGTGAAGGTGTTCTAGAGATAGATTCGGCATGGTGTTTTTCTTATAGCGCTAGTTCCGAACCTCTCTCGACCCCAACGCTCAGCCGCAACTGGAAACGGCTCCATTTCGGCTCCGCAGCTGCTGCTGACCGTGCGCGCGGCATCGCGTCAGCGCCATGGCACGGTGCCTCAGGGGGAAGGAAGAAGAGCTGGTCTCCGATGTGTTTGTACCATCTACCAGGACCGACACCAAGAGGTGTCTATACCCTAGAAGTCCAGTTCGACTATATATTGACCGGCCGAAGTAAAGGAAGTTCCCTTTCAGTTCTTTTTATAGTCTTTGACTCCCAGGGTATAAGTAGCCTCTCAGTGGCCTAGGAATGCCTAGGATGGTTTGTTGGTGTGTCCAAAAACCACCGGACTTGGAAGGTCCTGGTATGAATCATCTATAGTCTATCATCTATCAATGGCCAGCACCACGGATTCCGGATGTCCATTAATAGCCCTCATAGGTCATTCGGGGTGTCCATGAAGCATCCCGACTGGGGGGTCCTTGGGTTTCAGAAGTGTGCTTCTATCAGAATCATCCTATATTGGACAAGCTGATAGAACTGTGTTCCTTTGGTTAAAGCAGAACTGTGTTTACTTCTGGTTTAAAAACTATAACTCCTAAAGATCACCAACTCGGAACGCTGGTTAAAAAAGAAGATATGGGCGCCACATTTCTCGTCACGGACGAGAAACGGAGGCGGTTTCGGAATGAGCGGTTTCGGAACCCGTCTGGGACTGCCGTATTGGCCGAGAAACGGCCAGGGGTGGGGATCAATTCATCAGCGTATAGATTCCAGTCCCAGCTGTATTTCATATAACAATGGACAATAAATGGAGAGCTCGACAAAGCAGCACGTGCCAGAAGCATGACAGGGAAAGAGGTTCAAACCTGACAATCAATGGACATATTCCATACCAGCACCCTCCTGGCCAAAACTTGAGTTGAGGGGCCTGTTGGGACCTGTAGAGTCGTGTCATGGTCTACGCGCGGCGGACTGATGCTGAGGACACCTCTGTGGATTGGGATCCGCCCGGGTCCGCAGTTGGTGGCAGCTGACCGGGACTGTGGGGACGAGGATGGGAACGGGGACCAAACGAGATGGTTTCATAGGCAGTTTTAGGCGATATGGTTTTGGCAGGTGTTTAGTTGAACGAGATGGTCACCCCTTATAGTGCTTGGCTTTTGAGCACTTGTGCTTGTCCTGGGGCACCTAAGCTTAAATGCTCCATCCCTTCTCCCACATTGATTTTTGCTCATCCCTCGTCCCCTTTGGTCCTTTTCGTGCACCCCAAAGGAGCCCGTCTGACTAAGATCGGATCGATCGCATGTTCCCTTGAAGAAGGATGGCATGCACTTCGGCGCGTGACCTTTTTCGATACGACCATTCGATGAATCCAAGAGGTCCTACGAGGATCTTCTTTCGGTGGAACACCTGTCGCCTCCCATCATGTCTCTGTCTGAACGAATGTCTCTCGCTGTCTCGACGAGGTCTTTGATCCTCGATGAGATCGACGCCATGAGAGAGCAATACGATCTTCAGGTGCCGCCATTTGTGTGGCATTCTCGCTCGTTGCGAGATGGTTGGGGGAGAGTTGCGGTCATAGTTTTTGGCATGCTTACAAGAAGCTTTCTATAATATACTGTATGTCTTTGATCGTCTTTGTGAAGCTTTCTAGTATGTCATAGAAGCTTCCTTGGGAATCGTTTCACCGATCATGAAGTCTAACTTCGAAGTCCACAAGTGCTGAGATCGGTCCCGTCCACGACCTCGGTCCATCCGTTCGAACATGGCGTTGTTCGGGAGGACCCGATGTGGTGCTCGAAGCCAATCAGAATGTTTCTCGGGTGTCAAACAACTCTAGGGATCCAGTCGTACCTTCTCAGGTACGGTGATCGGAGACCATTTATGTAGGCTTGGAGGGCTCAAGTACCTCCTGAGAAGGTATGTGGATCCCTAGGGCAATGTAAACAAAACATGTGAGCCACAGTCCAAACATGCGAAGACCACTTTTGATAGTGAATAAGGACTCACGGAGTTTTGACCGTCCCTCATGTATATGGAAAGTTTCTTTCGTGCCACGCCGAATGTCAGAATGTCCAATGCCTCGCCAGCAAAATACGGTGTGTCCAGCTGTGTCCCGAACGCGCAGGTCGCGAAGGAAGAGCCCTCGCCGAAGTTTCAGCCGCTGGGGATCGGGATCGGAACGGGATCGGATCGGTGGGACCCGTAGCCTCGCTGACCGGATCGGTGGTTGGTGGGGGTGCCAGGAGGGTCCCTGAATCCGAATTGGCGACGCTGATCATCTTCGAACGAACATCGTTCTTCGTCTAGAAACTGAAGTGATCATGACCCGCATTTGCAAGCTGATCAGGCTCATGTATATTAGGAGGTCATATGTGTACTGGCTTGGACGCTGGCTATTCGGGTCTTCGGCGCTGGCGTCCATCGCCTTTAGAACGGATATCCGGAGCATTCGAACGTCATGACGCGATAGGGAGAGAGGTTGAGGTGCTGTTGGAGATGAACCATGGATGAAAAACAAGTCCCAAAAGAGATCTCTGTAGGGGTGGAGTCACATTGTGAGGGTGTTGTTGTTTCAACAAGTGAGTGGATGTGCCGAGAGAGGCACCCCGACTTCCTCCAATAGTATTGGGCACCCCGTCTTGTGACTGCTGGTGGAAGCATAGATCCGCCATTCGGCGGGTGGAGAATGAGATCTCACGAGGGGTGACGGGTGCCACGCCGTCGTGGCGCCCGTTGGAACTCCCACGTGGGGCTGGTGGCTTTCTCTAACTCTTGCGATAGAACAAGCATTGGCCGCAAACCAACCAGCGTGGAAGCTTCAAGAGCTTGTTGTTGATCGCCAGACTTCACCACTTTCAGCGCTCGTTCTTCTGGTTGATGCCTCGCGAGCAGACTTGGCACATTTGCCACGCGTGTCTGTCAAAATGACTAAGGTGGGAGTTCGCATGTACCTTGGCTTGTTCACCTAGGCGGGACCCGCGACCTAGCTACGCCGAGTTCGGGTGAAGACGAGACGAGCCAATCGAAGGGCGGTTTGCCCTTGGGTGGACCACTCGTGGGTTCAGGTCATTGGTATGGGCTTCTGGTTTCGCTTTTGCATTGGAAACCGGACCTTATCTGATGAAGTGGACCTTTGACATGTCGCTGTGGATCCGCTTTTCGGCCTGTCCAACCCACCGAACCGGCAGGTACAAGGACGTGCTCGAGGCCGTCGACCTCCTTGACGAGCTCGTGGAGGCCCGATCGGAGGGAAGAGGTGAAGCAGATGGAACGGACGAGAGGTGCAGGTGACGTGAAAGGTGGCTGCCTGGATGGGTTGATTGAGCTGTTATCTTCATCAGGTGTGCCAGATCACATCGTTGGTTAAAGAGTGTAGTCTTGTGCAAGGGTCGTCAGGAGTGGCATTTGATGCACCAGTGCATCATGTCATGGTTTGTTTTGAGATGCATTGAGCCAAGTGCGGGTCATTTATCCTGGAAGAATATGCCCAGGGAGACCACTTTGACATGGGCGTGTCCTATTTCTAGGGCGACCTCTCAGCTTGAGCCCCCTGGAAGAAGATGAAGAAACCATCCAAAACCGAAAACTCATTGGCCAAAAAACCACCTGTTGAACCCATTGGCACCAAAGCCGAATCGGCATCGGCACCATCGACTCAGGTGGGCTTCCGTCGGGTGGAGTGTTTACATCAGCTCATCTTGGCGAACCTGAAATTGGGTCACTATACCAAGGCCAAGGTGCGAGTCGGGTGGGGCGGCGGACGTACGTAATGACCTTGAAGTGATGTAGACAGTAGACGACATGGAATTATATACATCATGACCTTCAGGGACGTGAAAACATCAAACACACGCCCAGAAGTGAAGGCTAAAGGGGTCGCAGTTGGTGTGTTTTGCCATTGCAAGTCGTCGTTTCACGACACGTCCGTTTCTGCCACGGCGGCCCACGGTGCCACGCCCAGGAGGCCGCCGACGTGTGGCTCCACCTGGAGCCGGAGAATGGCCTGGGCTCCACGGACCCGCCGGACTGGGAGCGGCGGGCTGCTGTGGGGAATCCGGAAGCAGGAGGAGCGTCCAGCGGTCTCATGTAGATGGGTGGGAAACCCCAAATCCAATCTTGGGTGGGAAGGTCCTCAACCTTCCGTGGCTACTTCTGGGAAGGGTTGGAGTCCAAGAGAGATCCTTTTTGGTCGAGGAAGCAGGTCCAAACCCCGTTTTGGGCGTCATGACCAGGCGAGCAGCGAGCGGTGGATTCTTCGGGTTCTTGGCGTCAGCTGGCGCTCCAGCGTCCGGCTTCTATTCATAGCCCAGACACGATGTCCCATGGGACTGGAACAGGTTTTGTCTTTCATTGACCTCTTTTCAACATGTTTTAATCACCCCAATGTCTGTGGGAAGTCCAAACCCCACGAATCGTCGCGATTCTGGGGTGGAATGAAAACCTTGTCCACTCCTCACGTTGCGTCCTTTCATTCCTTGGAAGACCACTTTCCTCGGCAAACCGAAGATTCCACGTTCAAATGTTGAGTCAATCCTGAAAACGATGTTTCCTTTGAATGTGCTTTGGCACCATATTCATGCCTCCAGCATCCTCAATCAGCTGATGGCACGGCTGATTTCAAACACCAAGGTGTTGCGAGAATGCTTTACTCCGTGGTGGAAAGCTCAGGGTCTAGCGGTCTGACGGGTGGGCTTTGCATGGGACTTCAACAAAAGCTTCGAGCGTGGGACTTCTGCATCGTTCACAATGAAACGATGGCAGAGAACACGAAGCGCTAGGTGAATCTCCTTGGATTGCTATTTCATCTCTTATGGGATCTTAAACCTTTACCTTTGAACAATATATGTGTACCATGTTGATCCATTTTGTATCCCAATATGGAAAGTTTCGATCAATTTGGACGATCCGAGAAGCCTCCAGCGGGTTTTCGCGGCTCGAGGTCTTAGAGAGAGCCTCACATGACGGCTGGCTGGGCTTCTATGGCCTCACGCTCCTCACCGCCACAGGCGGGCGAATCCAGCGGATCGAGGGTTGTTCGCTCTCGGGTGTGGTTCGGCTCTCGGGGCGGACCGAGCAGGGTTTCCTTTTTTGTATGCCCAATATCAGACACGACGAATGGGACTGCCATAGGACTGCCTATACATTGACCCCCCCAGTCCAGCACCACCCCTGGCCGTTTTGAAGGCCGGACTGGCAGTCCCATGGAGTGTGTCTTCCGTCCGAGCCGAACCTTCCCGGTTATTGCTGGTGGTTTTTCGAAGCGCCCGCGTCCGCGAAGGGGCGAACCTCGCGGTTCGGGTCCGTCTTGTCTCACCTTCCAAGAGTGTGCTCGCCGATTTCCCAAGTTCCCAAGTTCGCTGGGGCGGAAGTTCCACTGACAAAAACCTATTTGCCATTGAACAAGAATGCTGCTTTCATATCTCCAGTCACGGTACGTCATGTCGCCAGGCCTCCTGCTGGCCTGGTTTCGCAAGCGATCGCAGTGAAGAGCCGACAAGGGGCTCTCGAGCTGTGACGAGTGCAGCCCAGCCATCCCTCACAGCGGGACATAGGGAAGCACTGCCAGGGTTAGTCTATGGAGTCATAGGATGTCTACTGGGAACACTCCGGACCTGATGAACAGCATAGTGAATAGTGGTTCGAAAGAGACACCCTCCAAAGGCGTCCACCAACGGCAGCCCATGAGGTTTTTCACCAGACTTGTATCTTCAACAAGGCTCCAAGTGACTGCGTCGAAGGCTGCGCAGTTCCACTTGCGTGGATGGCTTCGAGTTCAGTTCCGCCCTGCTAAGCCGCCATCCAGTGGCCGGTTGGGCGCTTTTCCTGGTGAGGCGTCTGGATGGCTCGTTTGGTTGAGACGAGTGGCCTGACGCACAGAACCGGGTTGTACATGGGGTGGCCTCTCCACACCTGATCGATGGAGAAGGGCGAAACCATGGCGATGGGGAAGCCTAGCTGTCACCCAGCAAAGCATTGCTTAACCCCAAATCCTCAACCCAACGGTCAGTCAGCTGTTTGACTGGCCCAACGTCATGATCAGATCGGATGAGGATCCACCAACAGCTGCGCTCCGAGGGGGATATCAATTCACGAAGGATTTTGGAAGAGCTCTGAGTGTTTCGAACAGCATCCGCTCTTAGTAGATGAGCTGAAAAACCTTAATTGCCAGCAGCCATGCAAGGAGCGCCGTCTGCGAACTGAGGAGAGACCTGTCTCTCAGTTCCACCGGTGTGCCCCGATTTCCCCGAGCTCGGTCGCCTGCAGAGGGCGAAAGGCTTCGGCCTGCGTTTCGCCGCACCGTTGCAGCGCCGCGACCGCCCAAACGGAGCGAACGGAGCGAACGAACGGCGGCTTCGTGGCCGCACAGGCATGCGCCGGGGGCAACTTTCGTTGACCCCCCAAAAGATGAACTAACTCGTGTTAACTACCAGCACCATCCAAAGTTGGCTTGGACTTAACTCACAGTTTGAAGGGTTTTGTCGTACCTAAAGTAATCTTGCAGTGTTTGTTTTGCCGTTCTCCGGCTGAGCTGTTGGGTCTCAAGGGTTTTCCGATCGCTGAGCGACCGGCGATCGTCATGGCACTTTTCGGCAAATCAAGTAAACTCATAACTCATAACTTTTGATTGGCCATTTGACTGGCCATTCTTTATGGCAGCTCATGGCAGAAACGACTTCACTGCTACGCAGGCAGGCTTTTCCTCAGGTGGCTTGCCTCAGTGCTAGGCCCGCTGGGCTGTCAAAAACAGGAAAAGCCAGTCAGACTTAAGGAAAGACTTTACAGTTTGGTTTAGCGGAGCTTGGCACAGTCCAAAATCACAGGTCATGTCATGGTCATGTCGCGTGGGTGCTGTCATTTCACTTGTAGAGTGGCCTCGCGTAGCACTTTTAAGCTTGCAAGCACTTTTTTCTCTTCAAAGCCAAGCGCACATAATTGTCTTCTTGTTCCTTTTGTTGGCTTGGTTGTTCTTTGGACTTTTGGACTGTGGCCAATTTTTTCAGGCGCCCCCAGATGCAGACATTGTGGTTGTGCAAGGGAGCAACCTTTCAATATAGATCAATTTGCCATACCTGACCAGGAGGGGTTGAACTATGGACAATAAATGCTGTTGACCTTTGACTACATACTACAGAGAGTTGTTGAGGCCAACCCCCTGAAGATGTATTTTTCATATTATAATCACCCTTTGGGTGGTGCTGGTTCTGGTCTGGTTGATTACTAAAAGTTAATGAATACTATACTAGTAGTTACTACTATACTAAGTACGATAGGCTTACCAGGGAGGTCAAGCTACCATGGTGGGAGCTCCAGGCTTGGGCCGTTTGAGTTCGTCCTGCCCTGGGGAGTAAGTATAATTCTTCCTGTCCCAACAAATTCAGGCCCTCACTTTGAGGCCCCGGACCCCTGGGAGGAGGTCGGGTCCGACCCCTGCCATGCACAGCCCATTCGGATTCTTCGGGTGGACGGATTGCTTCTCACGGGCCTCCTTCGGCTTGGACCGGATGTTTGATCACACATAATGTCATTTTTTGGGGGGAGGCAATGTGTCACTGTTCTCTTTGCACTGGCAAGTTTGCTCCTTATAAATACACATGCAACTCAGCTGACATGTTGGACTGCGTCTTGAAAGGTGTGAGTTTTAATGTCGACTCAGTCTCTCTGCTCTGGAGCCGGGGGACGTTGGTTCTGCTATCGACTTGGCTCTGCGGACAAGACGAGTGAAAACTGAACGAACAAGCCCAGACGACTGAACAGAACATGTCAAAACAGATCAAAAGGGAACACAAAATGCAAAGCACCACTATAGAAACCCCAGCCAAAAGCCCAGGAAAAGCCTTCATACCCCCACCCCCCAAAAAACAAACGTCTTCAACCTCTCATACGAGCAAAGACCTTTTTCACGAAGTGTTCTACAATTTTTGCAAAAAGTGGAACAAACCTCCTGAGTTCTGGCAAACAAATTGCCCCGTCCCTGCAACTTTGTACACCGTGTCCTGCAGTTGTCGCCCTTCGATGAAGCTGGGCCCTTAGCGCAGCCGTGTTCCAACTGCTGTTGCTTCGACTTCGTCTCTCATGGTTTCAAACCCTGTGCTGTTCGTGCACTGAAAAGCGGGTACACCGTGCACACCTCGGGTCGACCGTCCAAAGCTTGACGGTAACCAGTCGGTAAACAACCATCAATGGGATAGAGCCAACCCAGACGCTCTATGCCGCCCCATTGACCCCGACTTCAACCACCCCAATGTATGTAAATATGCCAGTCCCATGGAGTGTCTGGGCAATGTACACCTGTGTTTTTCATGGCTCGTGTGGAGTCTCAGCAATGAACCAAGTGAATTGGGTTCTTTGTCAGGCAAACCAGGGCAACAGCTAGCAGCTAAACACGCAATGGTCACCGGTGAACAGGTTGTGCCAAAAGCGGGGTCTTACCAACCACCAGAAAATGAACGAACCTCTTTTTCACAGCAGGTTTTACATGGTGACGGAGTTCTTTCACCGCTCTGCTCAGGTGTTTCCCCATCGATGCTCCAAACAGCTTCGGTCCGTCTCGGGCGTCGGACCCCCAGGTGATGCCGCCCGCCGAAGAGGTGCCGGACCGACGGAGACCGACGGAGACCGACGGAGACCGGGGACCGGCGGGTGCCGGGTTTGGGGTGCCGGGTTTGGGGCCGGCTTTGGGGGCGGGGGTTGGGGGGGGGGGGGGAAACTCCAGCTGGAGAAAGACGAGATATACATTTAAGATACCATGTCATCACCCTTTTGGGTGGAACAAAGACGAGAAGTAGAGTGAGAAGTAGAGAACCCTGTGAACCCTGTGAGGAGCATGGTTCTTCCACGGGGGGGAGCATTTTCCCATCCACTTCCATGACTCGTCTCTTTCAGGGAGGAGCTGTTTTGCAGCCACTCGCCCGTCGTCTCGCTTCTTGGCCGTGGAGCGACGATGGATGGGGGGCAATCCGTTGGATGCAGATTGCTGCTGTGAAGTGATGCTGCAGTGATGCTGCAGCTATGGCAGGTGAGGCTCTTTTTATTCAGTGAAGCCTTTAATTCTCTTCAGGTGGTGAGTCTGGAAGTGTCTCATGTGCAGCTGAAGCCAGTGTCTGTGGGAGTGTCCGGGGTGGTCATGCAAGGTGCCGAGGTCTCAGCGACGGCGAAGCCCTTCTTCGTGCTTCCGCAACGTCTCAGTGAAGATCTCCTGGTGAGTGCGTTGGAAGAGGCGCAACGACTTCAGATGGACGACCACGAGGATGAGGCCGATTGGCTGCCGGCCTATGAGACGTACGTCATGGAGAAGGCGACCATGGATACATTGGACCAAGGGCTTCGATCCGCAGTGATCGCGCTGGAACAGGCGGCCTTGCCCTTAGTCCAAAAGGCCTACGACTGTCCAACCTGTGTCTCGTGCACGGGCTTCGTCCGCAGGTATTTGCCGCAAGAACGCATGCGTGTTCCCCCCCACTTCGACATCACCGCCTATGCGACCATCATTTTGCCACTGAGCCCCCCTCAGAACTACACCGGCGGCTTTTTCGTGCAACCCACCGCGCATGTGGATTCGCGGCGCTTTGTGCCTTTGGGCCTGGGAGATCTTGTGGTCCATGATTTCACGCTCAATCACGGCATCGAGGTCCTCCATGGCGGTCGCTACAGTGTCCTGGTTTGGCTTAAGAGGAGTTAAATCCGGTGAATTGTGTCATATTTCCCTGTGGTTGGAGGCCATGGCTATTAGGTTGGAGGCCATTGTTTCTAGGTAGGGGGGCAGGCAGAGCGGCCTTTAAAACATATATGCCGTATGCCCTGGAGTCAAAGACTATTATCAAAAGAATGGTCTAACTCGTTGACCCGACTGAAAAGGAGAATTTGCTTTACTTCAGTCTTCAGTCGGTCGCCGAATATCATCGAACTGGACTTCAGTCGGTATGTGTTATTGTCCCGAACTGGTTAAACGGTTAAACCTTGTTTGAACTTCTAAGCTATTTATAGACACCTCTTGGTGTCGGTCCTGGTAGGTCCTGGTTGTTTGCCCGGAACTGGTCTTCACCCGCAAACCTGGCACGGGGATCCAAGGTTTGATCCTCTGGATCTCCGAGACGTTGGAGGCCTGTCACGGCAGTCACACCCCGTGGCATGCGCAGCGCGCGCGCGACGGCGACGCGGTGGCGCAGCATTTGTTGGGCATGATGTTCAGCCACGGCAACGGCGCGCCTCAGGACGACCTGCGGGCGTTGGAGTGGACCTTATTGGCTGCGACGAACGGCTTGGCCAACGCTCAATTCAGCGCTGGCACCATGTATTTCGAAGGGAAAGGGGCTCCCGTGGACTACAATCGGTCCTTCTACTGGTACGAAAAGGCCGCGGAGCAAGGTGATGCTTCCGCGCAGATCATTGTGGCACGGATGTATTGGGAAGGCTTGGGAAGTCCAGCAGATTCAGAGCTTGCTGCGTACTGGTACCGCTTGGGATCGTTACAGGCTGCCAAAGGGGTTGCACTCTCTGGACCCCAGTGGCTCCTTTATTCCTAGAAGATCGACAGCTGGCAGAGGAGAAGAAAACAACCTTCTATTTTTTATGGGTCGATGTCTTTTTCATCGACAGATACGTACCACTTCTGGTGCGATTGCGAAGTGGTTTCTTGATCTGTCTTACATTGTTTTACACTCAATGAATCTTAAGTTACAACGTATATTAAATTCATTTGTTGAAATCCTATTCCCAGACACGACACATGGGACTGCCATAGGACTGCCGATCAGTTGGGGTGGTGCCATGGGGGTCTTTCTGGGGCGGCAGTCCGGACTGGCAGTCCCATGGAGCGTCGTGTCTGGGATGGTCGCCACTTGGTCCGATCACCGGAGGTTTGAGGTCAATGACGTCACCCGTGCTGTCTGTTTTGGGCATATGCTTCCTCGATGAGGGGTGCACCGTGCACCGGGATCGACTCCACCGCTATCGGTCGAACCGATCGACTCCATAGGACGGGATTTTTTGAATCCATACATTGGGGTGGTGGTTGACTGCGGCGACTGCGGGTCAGGCCGTAGGCTGAGCACGGCATGGTGTGCCAGTCTGAGTCCTGTGGCTGGGAATTGCAGATGTTCCTGTCCCCAAAAAGAGACAAAACTCCAGAGGCCAACCCGGCTGGGTCTTGCCTTGTGGTCCCCCATGCGTTTGAACCAAACCACACCGTGACCGACCGGTCGGTTCGACCACCGCGACCGGTCGAACCCGCCGGAACGGTTCACGGACGGGTTTGAGCTCTGACCGGGACGGAGGACTGGCGTTTGATTCGGGTGAAGGGATGGGATCATGAGTCGACGTGGAGTCACGTCCGAGTCCCAGACTGAGGCTGAGGATCCCTAATTAGTGGGGGGTTTCCGGCCCAGAAGTGGTGAACCAGCCAGTCTGGATCTGGGTTTCCACCAGACCTGGAACCAGTCCACCTGAAATGTCCATGTTGCTACTCTTTATTGGCTGCCGCCTTGGGCAGTTGTTCCGCTCTCTCTCATGGTGGAGCACCCTCCGTCCCGTCCTGCTGGGACCGCGGCGCGGCACCGCGGCGAGGCCGCTTCTGCTGGGAACAGTCCCAAGCGGAATCCGTGGGGCTCCAGCGGCGGGGGTGCTCGGTCGGCGCTCGAGTGAGTTTGGCGCAAGGCGTTCGAAGCGCTTCGCTGTGTGGCGGGCGACCCAAGAAGGGGGGGGTCAAGGGGGAGGGGGGTCATCACGAAACGGACGGAACCGAAGACATGTCTTCAAAAAAAACATGGCGTAACGAAACATAGGTATAAACTCCAAAGACCTTGTAGACATCAGCATTCTTCATACCACTGGCAACTTGAGTCTCCTATAAAGCATTAAGAGTCTCCTATAAATGAAGACATGGTTACTGACATGGTTTTGTGTCTGGATCCAATTCTTCGCAGGTTCATAGTGAAAGCCTCAGCGGTTAGGGACCTAATTTTTGATCCGTCGACGAAGTGTGGGAGTTGTGGGGAGATCCTGCAGATTGTAGACTCTTTGATTGATAACTTCCCCACATAAATGGGTTTGTTCAATCCATGTCTGGGGAGGCTTTATGCACCTCAAGAGTCTACATTGGAAACACCGGATCCCCATGATGTTCCAAAGACTCTCCCAGCGACATGGGGCCCATGGGAACCGGCCATTGCAATGAGTGCGCATGGCCGGCCTGCGACGCACTGATCGGAGACAGGACCTCCAGCAGCTGGACGAAGCAAACATACAACTCTTGACATCCAGACATTCGTGTTTTGGGGCGCCCCTGAGGCCCGAAGATCCAAATCTCTCCGTGTTCAAGACATGTTCTCCATCCGTTTGAGGTGCCCCCACACCTGGCGCTAGCACATGGATACCGACCCCCACGAGGATAGGAAACGTGAGCCACAGCCGGAAGATTGACTGAAAAGGCTGAGCTCCTCTTAGGTTGGAGGCCATCGCTCTTTCGAAGCATGCTCCCACTCCCACCAGTCCCTGCAGTCCTTTTCTTTCCAAAGGACCACCCGCTGTGACGCCGGTGGTCGGACCCGCTCCGTCAGATGCGCCCCTGGACGTCTCGATGGCCTGCAACTCGGTCGGCGTCCCAGATCGACGTCTCGGACGGACCGCTCCGGTGTCTGCGCAGACGTGGACGACCCGGTCCGTGGCCCGGTCCGTGCTCGGTCCGGCGGTGGCGCCGCCACGTGGGAGCACTGGGCCCCCGTGCGGTTCGGGTGAACGGGGTGACGCCAACTGGGGGATTCCTTCCGCCGCGGCGATCCGATCGGTGAGGTTCCACCGAGTGTCCGGCGCAGTTCCAGCTGGTGGATGATTTACCCCCAAAAAAGCAGCATGAACCCAAAATACACCCCCCAACTCGAAAGGCGCCCTTCGTTGGACGATCAGCACCCAAAAACAGCACCTTAAGACCAGCCTGTTTTTTTCTTTGACTCGTCGTGATTGTCACGTTGTGAGTGAGATGTCAGTCACCAACAAGTGGCCAAAGGGCGCCACTCATCATCCACTCTCCAACAAGGCCACCCCTGCCGTGGGTGGCCCAGAGGTGAGGGCCCCCTTGTTGTACAGTGAGTTGGCAAGACCCCTCTAAATTCATCAGGAATATTCAACAGTTTGCAGCCCCTCACATACTTGATGCAACTGCCAAGGTCCCTCCCTGCCCATCCTCTGCTCCTCCAGCCCGACAGGTCTGCTTCGAGCAGGTGGCCGAGCGAGAGACGGGCCAATTCGAGTGCCCCTATCGCGTGCAGAGCGAAGCGGCGAAACGGGCGCAGGTTGTGTGGCGTGGTGGGTGAAAACACGGGCGCCGGCAGGTGCCGGAGAGAGGTGGTCATCCCCAAGAATGCATCCAAAACTGCAGCTAGGATGGCACAAGTCTTAAAGTAATATCAAACTAAGGGATGTCTCTTTGGTTCGACGTGCTTTTGTTGCAAACCTGGTTGGGTCTCAGTGTCATTGTTCGCGAGTAGGTTGGAGGCCATTCTCAGAGAGGCTTTGCTATGCTTGAACTACGTATTCCTCACAGGTTCTCATGGAGCCGTTTTGTATGGCTTTGTCAGGTACGTGGGCAGAGGTCGAGGGACCTACGAACAGGCCTGGCCTGCGCGGCTTCGGCTTCGCGCTGCGGGCTGCTCCCGGATGCCAATGCGGTTGAATGATCTTGACAGATGCGGTTGTCTCAGCACAGCTGAAGATATATATAGACATGTGTGGTCAAAATCTGACGGAACTGAAACCAAATCTTTGAGCACATGGCACGAAGAACAGCCCTGCAAAATACAAGCCAGGAATCAGAATCCGATCTACAATCTACATATTGACATATTGGACTTCTCACCTTATTGCCACTTGGGAATGGAATGGAGCGAGCCGCCACTGGAACCAAGCCGCCACGCGCTTGGCCGCGCTTGGGCGCGCCGCCAGGTCACCATCATTCCCGAGGCCAGCGCTGTGCGGAAGCTGAACGGGGGTAGGTGGCGCGTGTTCCGAGCGAAGAAGACACGTCCAGTTTTGACCGACTCGGGTCGGCGGTCCTTCGTGGTCGACCCCAAACAAGTTCGAGGCGTTCGAGGCGTTCGAGGTATGGCTTAAACCTGGAAGCAGATGTAAGACGATGCAAGAGGTATGGCTGTTTGATGGTGTTTGTAGAAGTTACACTCACAAATTTAAGGGAAGCGACCATCTCCAATCGCTTTCAAAACGAAAATCTCAGTTTCTTCTCCATCTTGGCTACTTCAACCGCTCAGCTGCTTCAGCTCGACCCCACCTAAGCGCGCCGAAGACAAAATCCTGCGGCGAGCCCCGCAGGTGCCGCAAGCTCGGAGGAAGATCAACGCGGAGGAGGGACGGGGGGGGGACAGGGCGAGGTCTCGAGACGAGTTCGGTGGAGACGATGGACGATTGGAGCGGAAGAGGACGTGGAGTTGTTGCTGTTTGGTTTGTTGGAAAGCGGGGTCAGACCGGGCCTGTCGGGTGGGCAGGGAGGGAGGCACGAGGCCGACTTGAAGTGGTGTTGGTGCGATGTAATTGCGGGGCGGCATGGCTGGCTTGAGGGGATCACTTTTGGGGGAGTTTCATCGCCCTTTACCTGGAGCCTTCATGAGCCTTCTATAGGACTTCTATGCTAGAAAAGTGCACTGGGCCACAACAACGGTTTCTGTGTGTATTTTGTTGTGGAAGTGGAAGGTGATGAGAAAACCCAATGCAAAATGACATGAATCTATCGGATCTATCGAAGCCTCAAAGCTGTCTTGGGTCATCTGGGCATCTCTGGGCACTGATATGTTGGCCGAGAGGCCACCCACCACCACCACAGCCCGCCATGTGATCGATGTGCAGGTAGAACAACGTCCACAGTGGTGCTCCAAATGGGGCATGGCGCTCTACTGCGTCCGACTCTGAGTGATGTTTTGATTTGTTATCTTTGCTTGGCTGAAAGCGCTTGTCCTTTTGTTCTTTTAAGCCTCGCTCGGCCAGTTCTCCTTTGGTGCTGAGCACCAGCGCGTTCTTCGCAGCCGTCGCAGGGCGCCGAATCGCGCCGACTGGTCGAGGCCCTGTGTTTCGTCTTGATGGGCTTGGCACTCTTGTTGCACGGGCGCCCGTGGTGGGGTGATTGGGCGTCCAGGTAGTGCAGATGGGTGGTCACCCAAACAGAAGGCAGAGTAACCTCTTCTGTGGCACCCAAAGCTGCAAACAGAGCGGTGCTATGTGGTGCCTCTGGGTTCAGTTCAGAGCTTTGTTCAACACTCTCAGTGGCAGCCATGAGTCAAACACTTTTGAATCGTCCTGGGTAGTTCAATGGCAATGTAAAAACGAGTGTTTGGGCACCCTTTCGTGTCCAGTCAGACCATACCTTGACACGGACCAAAAACCAAAAACAGGCGTACTACGTCTCGCCATGGTCAGACCCCTTTCACCCATTCCCGGACACATCCCACCGAACTCTTCCGAACGAACTCCTCCGGCCTTTGGGGAGGTCTCCGCCCGCGATGCGCGGCCCCCCTTCTTCCGCGACGTGGTCCTCAGGACGTGGCTCATCATCCACCATCACCGCCACGGTTCCCTGCCCCTGAACCTGCCGTCGCTGCCGCACGGCCCGGGCGGCATTGGACCGGCCGGTGCCTCGCCGAAGCCCACGACGTGGGAAGCTGGGCGAACAGAGCAAGTGCATGTGGGGTGTCCAAAGCCTTGGAGTGGTGACCTTGCTGATTCAAGGAAGTCCGTTCATTTGGATGGGTCAACCGCCGTTTGTCTCCCGGTGCCATGGGTCATATATAGCCGCCATAGCCATGTAAGTCCATGATCTTGTTTTCTCTGTGACAGAAATGGAAAGAAGATGCAAGAAGGTCGTCCAGGTGTCCACTTTTCTATGTGAGGCACAGCACAGCGAGTGAGGCACTAAAGGGCAGGCACGGAAGGAATTCCCCAGCAGCTGGAACAGTCGATTCGCCCTGCAGTTGGAACAGTCCTTCTACCCACGAGACATCGAGACGGGACGAAATGTCGAGAACCCTTCGGAGACGCGGGGAGTGTCTTCAGCTGCAGATGCTGGGTGTCTTCGGGACCCGCGAGACATGGGGCGTCTGCAGGACAGATAGGGCCTGATTTTGCTTAATGGTGATTTGGCTAAAAATGTTCCCGATTCCCTATGCGTGTGTGTTTTCCAAGTTTAGATAGGCTAGGATAGGATAGGATAGATATGTGACAATATGTTTGTATACAGGTAGTATTTCTTTGGGGCACGGTGGTCCATGACACGGCCTGGTCGAGCGCTCGGCCCAACCCAGGCCCAGTCGCTCCAGGTGGCTATGACTGCCAGGCGGGTGCAAGGGTCCGGTTCCTCGTTCGGTGTGGAAGGTTGGAACACTTGACGAGCGGAGTCACGTTCGACGGAGTGGTTTGGTTCGTCCCATCCAGGGGCCGTGGATGTGACGTTCAGGCACCCCGACTACCTCCATTCAGGACCCCTTGGTGAGTGCTGGTAGAGGAGTTGTGGCGGAAGAATAGAAGAACAAGTCACATGTCTGGATGGCACGAAGGAGGAGATATATGATGTGACTGGTTGTGCTTGCGAGTACACGTCACCATTGGAGCCATGTGTGGTCACCAACTCATCCCATAACCAAACCGCCCCTCCAACGGGTCCTGGACTCATTCCTCAAACCTCCGGCCGGTTGGGCAGGCTGGATACTGGAACTGGCAGAAGGCCTGGGTGTGAGGGCCGTCCGAGCCGTCCTGTGAACGTGGACGTGTGGTCCTGCGGAGGAACGAGGATCCAGCTGGACCCAGGAAGGATTGGTGGTTTGTGAGTTACTTGGTTTAGGCTGTGAGTGACGATCCATACGAAGACCACAGGGGCGAAGCAATCAATGTGTCAGATCGCGAGTTGAGACGTCGTTTTGATAGACTCTGCTCAGACAATGAATGACTGGGTAAATGATCATATCCAAGCTGAACCCCGCCAGCAATCCATCTAGAGAACCACCACATCCCTTTTTTGAACTTTTGTACTGAAAAGTTCATGGACATCTCAAAGAGACTTGAAACTTGGCACCCATTTCCCAGACACTCCATGTATGCCATATATGAGGTGGTTTGGGGGGTCAATGTAGGCATATATGGCATACATGGAGTGTCCGGGTTTTGGCTTCACTGACCACACGGCGCACCGACTTTTGTTTCCCCGCTGTCCTTGCTTCCCCGCCTTTGTCTGTCAGTCCGCCGGTGGTCAGGGATGGAGCGCGGAGAAACAGAAGTACTGCTGTGCCATGACGGGCCAAGGCCAGGATGTGGTGGACGCTGGTCAGCAGAACCAACGTAGTTTTTTAGAAGAAGGAAGGTCGTCCCCCAAATAGATAGTGAAACGGAAACAGTTTCCAATACATTCTCTACGTGGGGATCTACGAACTTCTATCTATACTTGGGCTTCCTTTTACTGTACTGGTCCTTTTTTGATGTAACAGTTACGCAGGTGAAGGCTCCGAAGTGTCTTACTGTGGTCTTGAAATCGCAGTCGTCCGAAACGGTATCCAAGATGGTGCGGTTTGTTCTTCCAAAAAAGCGAGATTGGTGAGTCAACTGCTTTGTCCTCAAGCAAGTTACGAGAAGGCGGCACTTGAAGACGTGTTTTCGTCGCTGAGTGGTTTCAAGAGGTGGACGAACAATCAAACAGTAAGAACCAGCACCACCCAGTTTGGGTTGTTAGATGGAAAATAGATAGTCAGGGGGTCTATAAACCACCCTTTGGGTGGTGCTGGAATGTCACTAGTTAGGAGATTCCTAGACCAGCACCCTCCAACAGGTCACCACCCGCGACTTTTAAGTCTCCAAAAGCCACTAGAGGAGACCTGTTGGAGGGTTCAGGTAGAGTTGCTTCTTGGGGCATTAGCAACGCATGCCACTTCAGCCCAAAGATTCCGACAAAAACCGGTCAACGGCATTTTTGCCCGCAGTGTCTGTAGCTGGTGATCCTTACAGCGCAACCTGTACCTGGATGATCGTATATCCATACTAGCTAATTGCTACTAGTAGCGATGCACTTGTTACTCAGTAGCTACGTGAGCTCCCAAACACGCAAACTACTTGGAGCAAAGGCTCCCAGCCGCAAAACCCTGCCAGTCGCATTGTGAGTCACGCCCAGTATTGCCGGCATCGCCTTTGCTTCGGCCTTTTCCAAAGTTCAATACATATTGCAGTGAATTTGCAGGACTGACATTGGCCATTGGCGAATCCATCCTGGCAACGCTCGCCAGGCTGCCCCACCGGCCCTACTGGCGGCACCACTGCCGAGAGTAAGTTCGATTGCAACGCCGCGCTGAACAACTTTCATACAGCGTGCCTTGGGCATCCAACCTTTTAGCAAAGAGGCTGTTTTGTGAAGGAAGGAGTGAAGGAAGGAGCCCAAGCCAAAACGGGGAGCAGAAAACACCACTCTCGTTTGTGTGTTTGTGTATGTGTGTGTGTGTGTCACAGGGTCCCATCCTCAAGTCACGTGCCCTTGGCCATGGCACAAAAGACTCCCCTATGATCCGAGAAACCCTTCGCAGTATGTGAAAAGAATGTAACACGAAAGCATCATCTCCACGTGTTTTCCACACCACATCCCACCCGTTTGAGCCAGATCCTTCCACACTTCACTTCCGCGTACAACCAAGAACACCCCTAGCTCCCCACCATGTGGACGCCACGTCGAAGTTGACACCATGACGACCCCGCAAGTAAGGTGGTCCTTGAAAAAGAAGAAGTGGTGCTGCGCCCACGAACGCAAAGGCTGCTTGCCGCATCACACAGAGACGCCCAGGTGCCGAGCGCCACGCGTCCCCGCGAGCGCGCGTCCGCGAGGGTGGAGTCTAACTGGTCCCAGTACTTGGCCTAATCAACAAGTGAAGGATGTGAGCGAAGTGATGTGGTTTCATGGAAGACCACTGTGGAAGTGAGATTGCCTTCATAATATCTGGAAAGCGCAAACGCCAGCAAACGCCCCATTCATGCACTATAGAATGTTTGAAAAATATGATGCTTAGGCTTAAACTTATAGCTATATACGTTTGAGAAGACTCCAAGAATTCCGGGTCACTATACCTCCTCACCAGAAGAACAAGTTTACAGGTTTTGGGACGTAGAAAAACTGGTCGTGGCGGGAGAGGCGATGTGACGTCTCGCGCACCCATTCTGCACCTCAGAAGTCTCATCTCGGATTTGGTCCAGAAAGTCTTCATGACTCGTCCGACGTGCCGTTCATTTGGAGCTGCCCGCCAGGATCTTTGACTGTCAAAGCAGCCTGCAATCGACTTGGTCTCAGCCGCAGCAGGCGACGCACCGGCGACGCTCCCGCCGTCTCGCCGGACTCAGCGAAGACCGTAGGGCCGTAGGGTCCGAAGAGTGAAGAACGAGCGGTCGCGAGGTGAAAATAGGACCCATGGTGGGGGTGGTTGGTTACCCCTGAACCTCTCCAGGGGACTGACTACTTGTATTAATAGACACCCCGGAAATTGGAGGTCCTAATCGTGTTTCAGATCGTTGGTACGCAATGTTTTGTTCGTACCCACTGGTTGCACCCTGCCCCTCGAGCCCCGCAGACCATCGCAGAGGGACTTTGGGAGTAAGTACTTCTTTCTTTAGTCGTCTATAATTATTATAGTCTATATAGTCGTGCCACTTGGGTGATCAAAAGTGCGGAGAATGATGAGAACCTCCCAAAAAACGATAAAACACGAGCAGCTAGCACCGAACCTTGACATGATGAGGACGCAGATGATGTGAGTGCCTCCCAAACATGTGCGCGCCACTCTCGCTGATTTTTTGGGGCGGCGGAAAGCTGGATGAGGTCTCCGACGCGCGCCAGATGGGCCATCCTCCGAAATCCATCGTGCGACCGGGCGCCAAGTCGCGAGGCCTATTGCTGCTCGCGCTTCCGCTTGGGCTGTGGGGAGATCATGACCACGGTCCCCTTCGACTGTACCGCAGGCAGACGTGTGTGGGAAAGGGCAGGGCAGGGTGCGGGGCGCTCACAGGAGTTCGCTGTGGTCAGCTCGAAGACGCCTTTGATGCACATGGTCATAGTCAGTCAGTTTATGAGCAGAAAGATCCACTAATGAAATTCATGAGTTGGGACCCTCGACTGCATGCTAGAAGATGTGCCAAACCCAATTGTGCCGTGTTCAAGTCTCATGTCCAGCTCCAGACCCGCTCCGCACTTCTCCGCAGACCGGGGATGCTTCGCAGACCCTCCGCGCAGGTGTGAAGCGGTGGAAGTCGGGCTGGTCCGACCAGAAGAAGCAGTGGTGCTGCCAGGAGCGCGACGTTCGTCCCCGCGCGGGTGTCAGGAGGTTTGAAAACCGATTGAACAAACAAGGGAATGCATTGGGTGTGTCCTATTCGGTAAACTTAAACGATTCTCAATGAGTAAGTTCTTTACAATCATAGGCGACAATCTGCATGATAATCTGCCTCTAAAGCATGCATTAAAAAAAAAACACTCCGACCGCTCTTGGCTGTACGCTTTTCAGGAGTTCAAGGTGGGCTGCGAGTCCCTGGGCGGCGGCGTGGACATGGACTGCGACGCGGGCTACGAGAACTGGAAGGCCCCGATCCCGGCCGTCGGTCGCGATGACCGGGGCCCGGGGACGTTTCGTCATGTCGGGTCCGGTGAAAATGATGTCCTGGGCGGGCCCTGGGCAGTGCAAATGCAACTGGAGATACCCAGGAGTACTTGCCTTCTTAGTCCCCCGGCTCGGCCCCGGAAAGAAGGATCACGGTCAAAGCAGCTGTTGCGGGTCGAGGACCGCTTTTTAGCAGTGAGGTGCACCGGTGGACCAAGCTGTCAAGCTGGAGGTAGAGGAGGAACGCGGTCATTTGGGTGTGGGGTCCAAAAACCTCCAGCAACCAAAACCTCCAGCAAGCAAAAACCTGCAGATTCAAAACGACTCGAGGAAGGTCTCCATGTTCCCTGCGGATCCGCTGGTCTGTCTCCCAGTCTGACGCTCCACCGAGCTCGCTCAACTCCAAGAGGTGGTATGGAGGTGTACAGGGCCAGGGATAGTGCCAGGAATAGACCAGCAAAAAGGGAAACGGAAGCCACAGGGTATGAATTGGCCGGGATATACAGTATAACGGGTACGGAAGTTTGGCACAACAGCTGTGGTGTCAGTCGTGGTGTCACACCTTCTCTCCATCGATGTGTGTCACATGGCATACAAGCCGGGGGGGGTTCTTTTGATCACAAGCAGTTTCGGTCGTTTACTGCGGATCTTCAGCAGACTGTCCGGCTTGTTCTAACAGAGGCCCCACAAGCACAGCTTGCTGGGCTTCGCGACGGTTTCGGTCGGACGTTTCGGACCGCCGGTTCTCACGGGACGCGCTGGACCGCTTCGGGTGCCGCTTCGGGTGCCGCTTCGGGTGCCGCCGTTGGGTCTCACTCAGTTGGGCTGGTCTTTGGACAAGATGCACTACTGCTGTAGTACCCATCAGCGTCCGGGCGCCCAGCGGGACATCCGTTGGGACGTACGGGTTCTTCGTCGTGTCGGCGCTGGTTTCCCACCCGACTCCGGGCCCTCAAAACACAGAGGGCTTGGTTTCTTCGCTGGGTTCGATGGTGATCACCCCGGCACCATGGCATCGTCCCGGCTAGAGATCCATCGTGGCTGGACCGAAGGACCACGGCACCCGTGTGCGAAGCAGCAACACATGAGGACTCCAGGGACCCCAGGGGCTCCAGGACTGTGTGGTTCCCACCCCCTGCGATTCGTCATTCCTTTGGTGTCCACAATCCATTTGGGTATTTGATTTGAGCATCATTGGGGGTTCCTTTGCTGATCATGGAATGATGATGGATAGCTGCTGCCCAAAAGACCACTCCACCTAGGGAAACTTCAACAACGAACCAAGCCATGTCCATCTAATCTAATGGGTTCGGTTGTTGATCTGGCATGATCCCCCAGGTCAAAACAAACAGAATAGCCCTGAATAGTGCAGGGTTGGGGGAAATCTCTTGTTCAAAATTTTCTTGGACAATTTGTTCTTCAAAAGTGTCTTGGACGAATCTCCCAGATGTCCAGGACTCCTCTTTGTTGGCTTCGCCAAGGGAGGGGTCCTAAATTTGGCGCTTTTCGAGGTGGTTGCCTTTCGACCACCACGCCAGAAGCTTTCGACTGCCATGCGGGCCTCAAAGATTGGCAGGCTGTCGGCCGTTCTCCGCAAAAGTGATGGGAAGTCCTATACGGGCAAGGAAAGCGTCACCCCTCCGCAAAAGATCATGGTTGATCTATACATGGGTCGTTTCCAGTAACTGGGTGAATCAGACTGCCATGAAGAAATGTTTTGAGCCCTACATGGATGCAGGGGGCATATGCCGGTATATATAAGACTCGAGATGGTGATGTCATTTCTTCCGGTCGTGGGTCGGTCTTACTTGTGAGTGAACTTCTGAAAGTCCCAGAAGTTCAGTTTGCTGAAGGACAGCGGCATGAACACAGGTGATCACCAGGAGACCCATAGGTTTGTTCCACTGATGGCAGGTGGTCAAGGGATACGACTCGCATGACTGAACTTGATACGACTCGCAGCAGTTACTCCGATCTCATTGCACCAAACCTCAACCAGAGTGTTCCTTCCTACTATAGTGACTGCATGCTACCAACGCGTACGCCTACTTGTGCCGGACGGATGATGCGACGGACCGCCGGACGGACGACCAGGCCGGGTGGTCTCATCAGAAGAAGCTCTGGTGCTGCACGCATCACGGCCATGGATGTCACGACCTCAGGGGCTTCAAAACATCCGCGGCGGCTTCCGCGGTGTCCATCTCATGAACATCAGAAACCCAGAAACCTGTGTCATGTCATGTCATCATATTATCATCTTTCTTTCTTCCTCGGTTTCCTCTGAACGTCGCTCTTCTGTTCGCGTCAGCTACCTACACCAGTCCGCCACGGCCAGGTCCGCAGACCACCACCGAGGAGTACGACTGCTCCGAGGGCGCCACCGAGTGGGAGGACGACCGGTGACCCACGGGGGATGGGAAGGGCCGAAGGCAGCGACAGGCCCAAGGCAATCAGAGACAGATCTCCACACGCTCCAGGAGAAGTGGTCGCTTTTGAAGCAGCAGTTCTGTTGTCAACATCACCGGGTGGGATGCGTCCACACCACCTCCTTGCCCTTCGATTGCTTCGCCGGCTTCAGCCACCCGGCCGGCGGTGATGTGCGTGCGCGGAGCTTCCCCGCGGAGCTACCGGGGTCGTGCGTGGGGCCGGTCGGGACGGGTCGGGAGCAAAGATGATGTGAAAAGCACTTAAGGTTTTGGAAGAACTGTGTGTATGAGTGATAGGCAACTAAGGGAAACCCAATAATACCCCGTGCGTATTAATATGTATTAATATATGAGTCAGTGACGAAGCACAAAGGCGTGTCTCTCGAAAACCCCGCACACGGTAATTGCTCTTGCTGGGATTGGTCACAGCAGGCGCGACTATCAGCTTCACTGGCGAATCGAGCTGAAAAAAGGAGTCCAACTAAGAAATGTCAAGCAAGGAGCCGTGCCATCCCATGCCCTAGCCTTCAAAGATCTTCAAAGACCATTTAAAGGGATGGTTGACCATGGTTGACCTGATGTTGCAGTCTCCAATATCCTTACGTCATAGCTATGTGCTTTGCAGACCTGGATGGATCGTAGGGGGTGTCGTAAAGGACGTAAAGGATCCCTACATCGCCACACAGGGGGCCACACATGTGCTGGTGACCCCCCTTTTTTTGATGTGCTGGTAGAAATCGATGGTTCCTGTGCCAATCTATGGGTTGGGATCCTATGGGTGTATCTTAGCAGCCTTAGCATGCTGCTTCTTCTCACGCTCTAGATATAAGCGCATTCAAGAACACGTGTTTGAGCGACTGCCTAGGGTATATCCTTTCTCATTCCTTTGAGCGACTGTCGAACCACCAATCCTTCGCCCCTTCGCCACCACGAACGAGGCGAAGCCCATCTGGCGTGGTCCACCCTGAAGAAGGCCGACATCGGCCGAACTCGTGGTGTTGAGTGGCCTTTTTCAGGTGGCCGAGATCAGCCTGGAAATCAAAGCGAGCAGATGTCGTCTGATGCGAAAACGGCGCGGATTGGAGATGTTTCTTTCAGATCATGGAAGCATGCGAAAGAATTTGGAAGGGAGCGTTATGGGAGCCGCGCGACGCGCGAGCCGTTCTGCCCGACGACGCCATGCGGTTCCGCGTGTTCTTGCAGCGTGCGGGCCGCTGCCAGGGCTGGTGTTGTCACCACTTTCAGAGGGGCTGCGGCACCACCATGCAAACCACCTTGCCGTATGACTGCGGCTTGGAGCAGCGAGGGCGGACGGGCGGTTTGTGGACGATCCATTCTGGGCCGATGCTGGCACCCCAATCCGTAATGCAAAGAGCTGGTTTGCCCAAGTCTGGGCGATTTGTGTAGTTGAAAGAAGGTGATGTGAGTGGATTCGGCGGTCTAGACTTCTTTCTGAAACAAACTGTCTCCTTGCCGACCCCACCAGCTCCTCCCTCATCCCATCCCGAAATCCACATCATCCTCGCACTGAGGCTATGCTGGCTTGGCCAAGTGGAAGACCGGCTGGTCCGATGCCAAAAAGCACTGGTGTTGCGATCGCTTTGCCAAGGGTTGTCCGCACCAGGAGCGGCGGCAGCGCATCGCGCACTTTTCGCGTCGCAGCACGAGACGCCGTCGCAGCACGAGACAGGCCTCAAAAAGGTCCGGGGCCTTTGATAGTTGAACAGATCCCTACAAGTCCAGTCTGACCCAGTAAAACCTGGTCTTTTACCTCCTTAAGTATTGGTTTTGTATCACCATCTCCAGTAAAATGAGGTCTTTGACTTGTAGGGGATAGTTAAACTTCCGGATGATGCGCGGTTGAAGGTTCTACATCTATAACGTGGGGATCCTTTTGGGGGTTCTGAGAGGACCTTTCAGGTTTTAGGGTTTTTGTTGCCTCCTTTCAACTGATGACCGAGCCCAGATTTTGTTCGAGCGATAAAGCACCGAAAACTGACAGAGCACTAATGACTGGTAGATGAAACTCGTGTTCCCTTTCCCTGCTCCGATGCCATGCATGAATCATGTGTGTTTCACCAAGGAGTAGTGTCATCCTATGTCATCCAGTCCCAGTGATGCGCAAAAACCGGGTCAGGACATCCCTTAAACAGACCAGAACATGAATAATTATAGTATATGTCGTAGTGATGTTTTATTTCTCACGTGAAGGAAAACGAAGACATTACATGACATTACTCCTTCCAGAAAGAGACATGCCTCCAGTCACATGTCGGGGTGCGAGCTATCCATGGATGAAGTCGGGGTGCCCAGCTACTCCACCTCCACGGCCCACTAGATGGGACGAGTCACGCCACCCCGTCGAACGTGACCCCTGGTGGTTTCATTGACCCCCCAGTCCACCACCCCTGGCCGGCCTGATCGGCCGTCCGGACTGGCAGTCCCCGACGGGTCGTGTCTGGGACTCATTCCAGAAAGAGACATGCCTGCAGTCACATGTCGGGGTGTGATCCATGGAGGTAGTCGGGGTGCCCAGCTACTCCACATCCACTCACTTAGTATAGGGACTCAACGCCACCCCGTCGAACGTGACCCTGGTGGTTTCATTTCTGTTCTTCCAACGTCGGAACTCGTCCTCCCCAACTCTTCCCCCCGCGTCGGGCGTCGGGCGCAGTCGGGCGGGCGGTCGACGGGGTCGCAGGAGACCACGGTGCCCTACGACTGCGATGCCGGTTGGGCGCGCTGGGAGAGGAGCCTCGGCGTGGGGAACGGTGGTGTGAAAAGATGTGAAGGCTTCCTGGCCCACCGTTGAATAGACTTGACCGAAGCAACTAAGAGTTTTACATAGGTATGAGCTAGGCTAGACATCGGATGCCAAGCATAGGTTCAGCAGGCTTCAGGATTCCAAAAAGCCAGACATATGGGGTTTGACCCGGTATTCATGTCTATTCTGTTCATGTTGAGAAGAAACCAGCGGTTTGTCCCAGTGCCATGACCCACCAAGCAATGGCCCAGCGGTTTGGCCCAGTTTCGCCGCCGATGGCCTCTGCATGTGTTGTTCTTTCCAGAAATTGGATGATGGCCTTGTCAGTGTATAGACGTGTAGATGATGAAACCCTCCCTTTCAATGGGCTGTGATTTTTGCGGTTCACCGGTTTGGTGAACCGCCGCAGATCCGCGCTTTTTCCGCAGCCGCGAGGGGTTGGAGCACACGGAAGAAGAGATGGTGCTGCGTTCACAGCAAGAAAGCCTGCGATCCCTATGACTGATGCTCGGCCTGCGAGTATCGAGTTTGGCACACACAGAGTAGCTCACTCAGGCGCAGTCGCAGGTCTATCAGTCTATCGAACACTCGGAACACTATCCTGTGGTGTTAGTTCAGTAACCTATCTTGGTCTATCATCAGTATATCAATATTTTTAATATATAATTAATATACTGTATACTTGGTGTTCAACGTTGCGAACTACATTTGAATTCTTGGTTTCACTGTCCAATCTCCACAAATTCGGAACAGAAGACGCGCATTTCCTCCAGTGCTACTGTGATTTGTTTGGATGGCCTTTCGTCATCTCAATTGGGGGTTCGGATGGCATCAAATTATCCTGAGCATGCATGCAACATCATGCAACCATATGATGTTTTCCAGTGAACAGGAGAAGGTTATTTCCAAATTCAGAGATGTTGAAAGACCAGAGATGCTTCCATCCATGTCATCGATGTGGTGTCCAATAACTTGCTCTTCCGGGCTTCGTAGCTGCCCATTCCGGGCTTCGGGCTCCGTAAGATCAGCGAGGCAACGATGGCTACGAAAGCTGGAGAGATTTGTGGTCTTCCTCCAAGCAAGCCTGGTGCTGTGCCGCTCGTTTTATTTCGAACAAGGGGAGAGTAGAGCGGATTTGGTGGCTTGATATGATGGGATCTTCCAACGGTGACCAATTTCTGCATGTTCATCCAATGAAAAAAAAAACAAAACAAATTGCAGAACATTGACATGTCGTTGGAAGATCCAGGTATGATTGGTTGTATGATTGGTTTGGTTTGGTTAGAAGCCCATTCCACTTGTATCGGACTCATACATCCACTTGGTGGCTTTGCTCGACACAGTCCTTGGCTTTACGGAGTCGCCCCTCTAACTAACCCCGTTGAAGAGACTGGCAAGTCGGGATGAGGATGAGGTTACGGCAAAGAGATCCAAGAAATGACTGACTCTATCAAGGGTGGGTCTTTGCATGATGGATCATGTCTGCAACAAAACTTGGATAATGTCTGACACCACCATTGACTTACCCCCTAGGTGCTTGCAGCAACCGGGTAGACCTCATGTGTTGAGCGATTGTTCGTTAGGACTCGATGAAGCGTGGCTGTCCTCCGCCCACGACCTCGGCTCTCTTCGATTGCAGCTCTGGGCGCCCTGGGCTTCCACGATCGAGACGTTGGTCTTTAGGGTCCTTGCTACTAGTAACGATGAAGCTACTAGGAACAAGTGCATCGCTACTAGTAACAAGTGCCTTACTAGTAGTAACAAGAAGCTATTATAATTAAACTAAGTTCGAAAACATTGTTACTACTAGTAAGGCACTTGTTACTAGTAGCGATGCACTTGTTCCTAGTAGCTTCTTGCTACTAGTAGTAACTCCCTTGTCACTAGTAACGATGGCCTTCAACCTAGAAGCTTCTATGTAGCTACTAGTAGTAACTCCCTTGTTACTAGTAGCGCTGGCCTTGTTACTAGTAGCATCTAGTAGCTGCGTAGCTGAAGGAAGTGAATATGTTGGAAATCCACCGTGGGGAAGTCTATGTTGCGGGGAGGGGATATGCATGTGACGAAAAGCTCTATAAAGGTCTTGTGGTCATTTATGGTCCGAGTTGTGTTTGGATCTCAATGCTCGAACCTGTCTGACTAATTAATTCCCCAATCCGGCAGCATGCTCGATGGCAATGAGGTCAAGTGCAAGAAAATCCGAGTTGTTCCGGGCATGTTTCCCAAAAAAGCCGGCAATGGGCATTTCCGGGCCCTTTTTCCCAGAGCGAATCCACCATGAATGGGCGCTCGAGCGCCCATCGCCGGCAACCCCCACCAGACCTGTGCAAATTAGAGCGACCCCAGCCAAGGTAACGAGGTGAACAGGCACGAATTACGAGGTCAGGCACGAGGTGGGTTAGGACGATTTAAGGGCATTGGATAGCACAAAGTAAGAATAGCTGCAACGACAACTAATTAGTACCACTACTAAGACTACTATTACCACTGACTACTACTACTACTACTACTACCACTACCACTACCAGTACCACCGAGCAACCGTCGAGTAGAGAAAAGCAAAATCACACTTTCGGGTGGTTGTGGGGCTGTTTTTGTTGTTTGAAAGGCGAAAACACAGCTTTGGGCTGCGAAACTGCGCTTTTGCTTTTCAAAGAACAAAAAACAGCCCCACGACCACCCGAAACTGTGATTTTGAGTTTTGTCTCTGCTGTTACCACTACCACCACCACCACCACCCCCACCACCACTACCACTACTACTACTACTTCTACTACTACTAACTACGACTAACTACTACTACCTACTACTACCTACTACTACTACTACCACCACCACCACTACCACTACTAGTACTACTACTACTACTGCTGCTACTACTACTACACTACAACTCTATTACTACTACTACTACCACCACTACTACAACAACTACTACTACTCCTACTACTATTGCTACTACTACTACTACTAACTACTACTACTACTACTACGACTACTACTACTACTACTACTACTACTACTACTACTACCTACTACTACTACTACTACTACTACTACCTACTACTACTACCTACTACTACTAACTACTACTACTAACTACTACTACTAACTACTACTACTACTACTACTACTACTACTACTACTACTACTACTACTAC